CGTCTCCGTCGGGGCGGACGACGCCATCACTGGCCGCGCTCGCGGGTTACCCCACGCTTCCGTGTTGTGATGCCTGTGGTGTGGGCTGTTCCGTAGTGCCAGGTGCTTGAGATTGTGCCTGTTGTGCTCGTGTAAGGCCATTTTGCAGGAACGAGCGTTCTGCCGTCAGCGTCGCGATTTCCTCGGCGCTCTCGCGGATTTGCCGCAAGAGATCGTTCAAGTGCTCCTGCGTGAGCGTCGTGATATCAATGTGCTCGGCCATTTCGAAGGGTGTCGGCTCGTCTTAGTCTAGGCGCAAACGTGGGTGCACGCGTTTATGAGAGAACGCGAGGACAACGGCTCCTAGGTGCTAAGGTGCGTGAGTCCCTTTGAGTGAAAAATCAAAAGTTGATTTCCTGGGGTGCGGAGTGCGCGGTCTGAAAGAAAGGGGCTCTGAATACCAAGTGTTACGGGTGCAATGAATCGAACTAGTGAGAATTGCACTAAGGTGTCAAACGAGTACCAAGATGTGAGCGAATGCATGAGCAAACATTTATACGCGAAACATGCAAACGGTAACGTGGTGCGTGCGAGCTAGCTAGTGCTACGGTGGCAGCGAGGCTCGAGCTGGCCACGAAGCGTAGGCCGACACGGCCGGGCCAGCAATGCGAGGTTTGACAAAACAATGCGCGCGAAGTTGGCGAAGTCCCGTTAGCAGTAACGGGCGAACAACGGCTGTTGCTGTACGCGATGTAGTCGGGCTCCGTAAGGAATGCCGAGAAAATTCCTTACATTTTGGCATGAACTGAATCTGTGTATGCTTTGTAACAAACATGTCATTGAAATTTTCCAATATTTGCGGAGGAAAGGTCATCTTGTAACACAAAATCCGCTGTCGTCGTGCTTCGCTCGCGGGTTGTGCTTCACAGTCGGGTTGTGTCTGCTGGGAGTGATATCCACACCGCTGTTGAGCAGCTAGTAGTTGTTGGCAGAAATATTTTTCGTGACCCCAACTTGAATGGGCATGAACCGCAAAACATTGTCGTCAGCAAGTACGGAAGCAGGCACCACTCGTCAAGCCTATTGCATCTCAGAACATACCCTGCCCGCACTTGACACGGGCCAGCAACTGAAAGCAGGTTGGCTAGGAGGGTAGCCTTCCACGGGGTGACGTATGGCGGTGCGGCTGTGGGTCTCGGACAGTCCAATCTTTGGACTCTCAACCAGAAAAGCATATCGATGATTTGTCAACGCCTCACTTTCTCCAGAGTTTTCCGTACCCAATTTCGTACGAAAGATTGTTGAAAGTGCACATTCACGAAGGAGCTGTTCTGTAATTCGTCGATTTGGGACATGGTGCGGAACGCTTTGGCACGCCCCGCTGTATCGAGTTTCGAGGCTCTCACCGTTCAAAATACAATTTGTACCACGAATAACCACGGCTTCTGTGCATGCACTGCCACGCCACGGCACGCACCGGCACGCCCACAAATCTGTGGTGCGAATCGGTTCGAACTGTTTCTGAGCGGCGGAAGCTTCGAAACCCGGCACACTGGGGACGGGGGTGTGCCGAGATGGGAACACACAGCAGTTGAGAAGTGCAACCAACTGCGCGCTTCGATTTCGGCATTCATCCAATTCAATGGACGGCGTGGATGGCACTGAGACCGCATTCTCAAGTTTGCCCACCATGAAGTCTGCCCACCATCAGAACTTTTCCGGGGCTGATGGTGTCCGGGTGGGGCAGGGCCCCACTTTGGCCACCAGACCTGCTTTTGGCGGGCGACAGAGGTCGCCCGGATCGCATGACAGGTGTCCAACCGAATCGTTTTCGCCACCAATAAAATCTTCTCATAAAATCGCACGAAGGTGCGATAAATATCGTCAGGCAATAACCAAACGGCCATGCCTCAAGGTCGCGCAAGTCAAGACTTTCAAACAGCAAGTAGCACGTAACCAGACTCTCCGAAAGCACAACCCCCCAAACCACCAATCGATGAAGTCGCACATTGACGTGCAGGCAGAGAGCTGCGACCGTGGCCGGTTAGCCTGAGATAGAGACGCGTGGGCAAACATTGAAATGTGAATAAATTGCAAAACCAGCATTTCGAGCCGCGTGGGAAGACTTCGGATGGTGGGCGAACTTCAGACTACGGCCTGTCTGCCTCTTCACTTCCCTCTCCTCTACCCCAACCAACCCAATCCGTTTGCACATCGAGTTGGGCTCTCCACGCGGTTCGAGAGCAAAAAAATTGGCCCTCATTGCTCCACACCTATTGCCCCTCATTCCAGATCGCTGACTTTCCACACTACTCACCTCACCAACCCAGCCCGTTCCAACATCTTGAAGCACCCACCTCAATCAATAAATCCGCATTACGAACTCTACACAGGCACATTAGCTTCCTGAATTCTCGAAAAATACCAGATATTCTCTCTAACGCTTGTCCTTCCTCCTAATTCATCTCTCAGCCAAATCCACTAACGCTCAGACACCATGGACGCCAGACGGTGCGTTCTCGCGACTGCGCTTCTGCTCCTCGTGCTCTCCGCGTTCGCCGTCACGGTCACGGAGGCGAAGAGAAATCGCGGGAGCAACCAGAAGCTCTCCTATCTCGACCAGGCCACGAAAGATTCAAGAACTGCTCAGAACGACGTCGCGTACGCGCAGAAACAAGCTGACCAATTTTCAACGAAAGCGACTGCTGCGGTGGCCGCAGCGACACAAACGGAGACGGACGAAGCAACCGCGAAGGGAGACTACGAAACCAAGCTTGACGCGCTGGCGACAGCGGCGGGCGCGTTCCCCCCTCTCGACTACGCGCAGACGAAGGCGGAAGACTGGGCGGCTCTCGCTACGAAGAAACACAACGCGGCTGTAGCGCGGCTCGCTCTTGCAACCAAGTACCAAACGTCTGCGACAGCCCTTTCCGTGCTGGTCGACGCCGCGGCGACCGCCGCCACAACCGGATTGACCGCCGCTACGACCGACCTCACCGACGCGAGCACCGCCGCGACGGCCGCCGCCACAGCCGCCGACGCGAGCCCGACGTCCGCGCTACGCGCCGCGGCCGCCGCGAAGTATGTGGAGGTCGCAATCGCGCAGTCAATCAAATCTGCATGGGAGGATCACGCCGGAATTCTCACTGCTCTGCAGACTTCCTGCCAGGCCGTCGTGACTGCCGCGGATGCCGAAGTTACAGCGGCCACTACAGACGAAGCATCAACCAAGACGGAGAAGGACACCGCAGATTCGGACCTTACAGCGGCGAATACGGCGCTGGCGACGGCGCAACAGGCGTTCGATTCCGCCAAAACAGATTACGACAACTCGAAGCGCCTGTACGAAACGGCCAAGTCGTACACGAGCGCGGCGCGCAGCAACGAGCTGGAACTGCTCTCGAAGAACCGCGCTGCGCAGATTAAGCTGATAGGGAACTCGATTATCAGCGCCAAGGCGTCCCGCCGGCTCGTTTCGACGATCACGAGCGAGACGAAGAACAACCGCGCGCCGTGGCAGCAAAAAGCGGCGAGCATGGCGGCGACAAATCCGGACGCGCTCACGGAAATGAGCGAGATCGTGGCGTCGAGCAAGCTCCCTGGCAACGCGCTGTGAACGGTTGGAAGTTGGAACCGATCCGAGCAGTTGGAAACTCTGCAGGTGCGCGAGGAGGTTCTCGCGGGTTCAAACAGTTTTTTTTTTTCCAAGCGTGCACATGGAGCTAGCTATTAGGAGACTCTGTGCTTCTGTTGCTAGATCCAAGGACGCACCGTGCTTCTGTAGCAAGCTCCATGGGCGCGACGCAACGCATTGATCACTACTGGTGACTGCGGTGGCGGCTCCTCTGAAGCACGTTGATGCACTCCAGAACCTGATATTCTTTTGACACTCACACTTAACTGAGGTTCTGTCTGAGAGCGTCATTCATGCTCATTAGGGGATTCCTTGGCGTTTGCTTCTGTGTTCTCTTGGCTTTTGGAGATGCATGGAAAAAGGTAGGGGGGAGGGGGAGCGAGGGAGGGCGGGGGGGTGGGTTGGGGGGGTGGTGGTGGTGGGTTTGGGAAGGGGTATTGAGGAAACGTTCAGCAGTCCTGAGAGTGGTTAAATAATGGTCGTACCTGTTGACCTGAACAGCTAGGCTCATCTCTCCATACCACCTTCAGAATCAATCACTTGCTGTTATGGTGCATGTTTCTAATGTATAAACTCTTCAACCTCTAGTGCATCTCTCCTCTGCTTCTCCCTCCACTGTGGTCACCTTACCTAAACTACAGCAACCCGCCATTGTTCCTTTCCCCTTAAAAACACCACCCCAGCTTCCCCAACCTTGCTGTCCCCCTGAATGTCTATCTCCACACCACAGACTAGTTACATTTAGGAGAACATGGTGTGGAAGTGTTTTCACCTTCGGCTCTGTGTTATGAAATCAGTGCTTTTTGAATTTTCATCTCCCTGCTAGCATGGCAGACTTGCCAGACAGGGCAACAATCCCCTCTCACATAGCCAGTCTAGGCATCCAGTGTTACTGAAACGAGAGTGATAAAGTTACCATAATTTATAGGAATACATTTTGTGCAGATATCTCTACTGTATTTGACAGAGCAACCAATTCAACACATAACTTCTAGGAGTTTAGGCGGGGCCAACGACCAGGAAACGGTCCCCAAGGTCTTGACGAGGCCTCTGCAATTGGTGCATGTGGGGAGGAGGGGAGATACAGCCGTTATGAGTGAGCAGCAGCAGCAGCAAGTGAAAGATCCTACTTTTGAGAAGACTCAATGTGACTTTTGAGTCGACTCAAAACTCTGCGATCGGTGCATGTGGGGAGGAGCGAGGGGAGATACAGCCGTTGTGTGTGAGCAGCAGCAGCAAGTGAAAGAGGGGGGAAAGGAACGGGGAGATGGGAGAGAGGGACAGCAGTAGGAGCTGTAGCAACAGCAGCAGCAGGTGGTTATAATAAGCCCGATGCCTCTCTGTGCTAACAGCCTTTAGTAAGTCTTGAAGGTCTCACAACACTCACCGAGTTAAGGGCAAGAGTCTGGCGGTCACCGACATAGCGCATGAACTCAACCACTTGGGAATCAGGGATGCGCATGGGGGATGCTGCAGAGGAAAGGGCGGGGAAGAGACGATAGAGAGACTACTGAGTCGACGGAACAGTGTCAGGATAGTGGAGAGGAGAGAGAGGACTAAACCAAAGTATTGAGCAGACTAGCTAGCATCAGGGATGCACGTGGGGGATGTTTGGGACAGGGAAAGAAGGGAGGACGGAGAGGATGTGTGGGGAAACTGGAAGGATCACTCAAGCATTTGCACACCTGGGTTTTGTTTGAGAGGGGATTGTGAGGGAATGGTGGAGTGGGGATGGTGGAGAGGGGTAGAGAATGGGGAACAGGAGGACAAGAGAAGAGGGCACAAGGACGAGAGACGAGGAGGACACAGGGAGGGGATAAGAGGATGAAGGCAGGCGTTAACTGAAATTATTGAGAGCATATGCCTAGAGCAACGCCAGTCAATGCCAGTCAACGCCAGTCAATAGCAGTCAATGGCAGTCAAGTGACTTACAGAGGACAAACCAGTCAACGCCCTCGGAGCACGGGGGGGTGGTGAGGGAGCCCTTGTAGTGAATGTAGTTGTGCGCACCGTCCTGCACGCCATGATTCAAGCAAGGTGATGATGGGTGGCGATGGGTGATGATGGGTGATGATGGGTGGCGATGGGTGGCGATGGGTGATGATGGGTGATGATGGGTGATGATGGGTGATGATGGGTGATGATGGGTGATGATGGGTGATGATGGGTGATTATGACGACGGTGGCACGGCGAGGGAGGTGAAAGGTAAGACGTAGCTGGTGAAGTCAAGCTGCAAATGACGAAATGGCAGAAGGCACGGAGCCATAAAGCATGCCAGCCAGTTTGAGATTATCATAGTAACGAGACTCGCCATAGGCAAAGCGTGAACTCAGAGAGAGGAGCTGGTAGTTGCAGCAGACAGGACTGTAATATCAGGCTCGGCAGAGGCTTAGAAACGCACCGCTCTGTCAGGCTTGGGGAGGAGAGGCTCGGGGCTGATCTGGATCTTGAGGCATTGCTTCAAGGGCTTGCCCCCACCCACTGCTGGCACCTCGAAACACTCCACTGGACCCGCACTGGCGAGGGAGGGAAGAGGGGGAGGAACATGGGAAGATGGAAAGGTAAGAGGTGGGCTTTTGACGGGCACTGCCCGTTTCTAGGGCCTGGCACCTCTCTCTGCACTGCAGGCGCATCCGCGGGGTGAAAGAGGACGCGTGCGAATAGAGTGCAGTTCGTGAATTCGAGGGTAAGCGTCGAGTGAGGTGGGTGATTTCCCTTTCCGCTGTAAACTCATTCGCGTCCTCGCCAACTCACTCCAATTTTCACTCTCACTCAAAGCCGCAGTGTAGCTGAATCCAAACAGCTCGCAGTGCCGCACTCACATCTGCTTAAACTTCTCGTTGGGCGAGAAGGCGAGAGCCGCCTCGAGGCAGAGGTTCCGCGGAGCCTTGGGGTCCGCCTCCAGCATGACCCTGCGCGGAGGGCGGAATTGCGGAGGGGGGATTGCGCGGGGAGGGAGAGGGGGGTGGGGAGAGAGGGGAAGAAGGGGAAAAATTGAGGAGGGAGGGTAATGATGGCACTGAGGGCGGAAGCGGAGAGGAGAGAAGCACTACTGCCATTTGGAATGTGTGCAAGCAGAGGAAATGTAGACAGATGGAGAGGGTTTGATTTCGAGCTAGAGTATGCGGAGAAGAATCATTGTTGCTACGCTAGAATTAGGGCGTAAGGTGCTTACCCTACGACTGCGAGCTTGCCCTCAGCATCGCCTGGAAGAGATGGGCAGATGGGAAACAGCGAGGGAAGCGAAACAAGGGAAGAAGGAAGACGAGTGAGTGAGAAGCAGCACGAGCCAGTTTCGAGAGTCGCTCGCAGCAAGCATGGCTGAACCCCTCTGATGGTGCAGCAGCGTTACATTGTAGAGGAGCGGCATGTTGTTCAATAACGTACGGTGGACATGACATGACATGAGATGACATGATACGGCGGGCGTACGTACGGTGGACGAGATGAACCTCCATGGCGGTACGGATGCCGTTGAACGAGTGCTCGCTGGGCGCGTGGAAGTGGTACTGCAGCAGCTCCAGCTTGCGCCCGCCGATCTCGCACGTGTTGCTGCCGCCCGGGAAATTCACCTGCGACGCGAAGGTAAGAGAACAAGCGTTAAATAAACGCTAAAAAAAATTCGCGAAAATTATTTCAGCTTAGAAATGGGAAAGTTGAGTGAAGGGAGGCGATGTTATGATGTTACGGAGGCGGAGGACAAGCGAAACGAAATTGGAAGGGGAAGTGTAAAATAGTAGCCACGAGGCCGATATTCAACACTGCAACCCAAGCTGAATGCCGTAGCGCGCCATCTCAGCGCTCATCTCTCCTATGCAGACTCTGCGCGATCAATATCATGTATTTCCCAGCTGTCTCACCTGCATGGTGCCGTGGCCAGTGTTGAGGAACGTGGCATCGGCGCGCTTGTACCCGAAGGCGAGCTTGCCAATGCTATTATCCGACACGATCTTAGGCGCCGTGAAAGAGATGTCAATCGGCGACTGCGCAGCGCCAGTCTTGCACACCGCACCCCACTCGTTGGGTCCTGACAACTCTCCGTAGCTCCAATCAGCAGCGAGCGCGGCACCCATGGATGGCGATCCCGAGTCGCAGATTGGGCAGCCGACCACGGCGGCCATGCCGGCGGCCATTCCGCCGAGAATCAATCGCCTGGACACGGCGCGCTTCGTGTGGGTGTGGGATGTCGCGTTGTTTCCATCTGAGCCCTCAGCCTTAGCAGCGCACCGAGTGGACAGAGAGTTACGGGAGGCGGAGGATGCGGAGACGGGGAACGCGAGGGTGCTGGCAGGTTGACCAAGGAACTGGCTGGCTTCCAGAACGTTCTCGGTCTTCAGTGCACTTGGAAGTTTAGCAGCAACTCCAGCAGCCATGGCAGCCATTTTCGACGAAATGCTGGTCGAAAGAAAAAAGGTCGATGTGGTGCAAGACTGCTGCGGAAGGAAACTAGCAGCTAATTGAGTGGACAGAGCTCACGTACAAATGATCTGGTCAACTTAGTTCTGTCCTGATAGCAGGCTAAGTAGTGAGTAGTCAGTCGCCTAACCTAGTCGCTTGTGTGTAATGCAGCCTGCTTTTCCCATTCAGGTAGCTACTCGACACTGGTCTTCAATTCACGTACTGTAGTACGGTTTCGTTCGGTTTATTGAGTTCCAGAACTATGAGTTCAGATTACCGCTCCATAACGTATCCAATATTTCTAGAATGCACTGAAACGACCGTTGGTCAAAGGGGTAGACGCGTGTTGGAGTTCGTTTTCACGGCTTGATGAACTCGGGTCGGTTCGAAAGCTGGCGATTGGACGGGAGCGATTGGTTGTGGTGAAGATGGAGCCTCGAAGTTGGTATTTCCCGATCAAGACGGGCTTTTGAACAACAGCTTGGGCTTTGGACTAATTCGTGGTGTACAAACTTCGAGAAGATCCCCCACGATGAAAATGATGCGAATAGCGAAGCGCTGGTTCCTCCAATAAAATGCACCTGACTAAGTGGCGAATCCACGTGGATTTCGCCCTTGCGGATGGGAGGGCCAGCGACATACTCGCAGCTGACATGACGTGGCTGGAACTGCCTATCTCACACTGACAATTTCTTCTGAATCAAGGATAAATTCAGACGAGGGGTTGTTCTCGTTTGTGGACTTCTCTGGCACGTTGCAGTAACAAAATTCAACTTTGAGTATGGAAATATAAACTCAGTTATAACAGTGGGAGTCTACAAGCACTATAGAGGGTACATCCGCGTGGCAATTCATGATTGTGTGGAAGATACTCTCCTGGTTCTGCAGGCGTTCCACCAGTAAACGCAGAGCACTGGGAGTTGAACGCCATCCATCCAGCACTACTCTGACTTCAAGAGCAAGCATTGACCAATCTGGGAAACCTGACAAGGACTTTAGTGGGGGGACGACATGAGCTTCGCCCAAATAATGCTGCGGAAACCAGTTGTTGTGAGCCCCTAATATTCAGCTGGAGTACAGTATTTATATGTGCTGAGATAGTTCTGTGAAATTTAGCAACCTTGAAGTTGGTGACTAGTTTCCATCAAGCTTGCCTCGAGCTTGCCGACGGCGAAAATGGCTGCCGTTGCTTCACGATTCTCCTCCACTGCCGTTCTTGAGAGGGCCCAGTTGCGCGAGACTGAAAGGCGATCTGCTTCCGTAGCTGTTTGTACGTAACCTTCGACGACTCCTCGATTGCATTACGGATTGTAATTTCTTCCTAATCCATCATGCTGATGGCACATGCAGCGCTCTAGGCACGGCCACTATGCTTAGTGCCAGAAAGCTGCACAACTATGCTGATTTTGTTATTTGTTTCCCTCCCTCATCGCTCCAGCCTTCAATGGCCTCAGACGTGAGTCTACGACAGCACTACCATCCCGATCAAACCGCATCGCCCGCCGCCGTTCACGGTACTCAGTCGCACGTGCAGCAAAGAGCAGTGATTCCTCTGATCCTTCATCTGCTCCACTCGCCACAGTCACACAGTCCTCCTCTACTCCAGACCTGTCTTCCGCTACTGCCGCTTTGAACCGCCTTAAAACCAATATCGTTACATTCACACAGTCCACCTCCACTCCAGACGTGTCCTCCGCTATAGCCGCTGCTCAGCCTTACGCTCCATCCGTCCTAGGCGCCGGAGCGCTCGGTGTTGCGTCTTATTTAATTGTCAGAAAGATCACATCCGGTCCTGCTAAAGCGGAAGCGGGCGCAGAAGCTAAAGCAGCTCCTCCCAGCGGCATCGTGCCACGTGCCAAGAAAGTATGTGCATGGAAAGCAGCCTTACTTCCCATTTACAGTTGTTTCTACATAACCTCTTCCAATACCTTCTCACGCTGTGGCTCAATACGTCGAAGTATTAAGCTCGCTTCCAATTCACGGAATTGAGTCACCATCCCATTACTGTTCCGTTGCAAATCTGCCTCCTTTCCCCCTTCAATTGCGTCATTGCGCTTCGTCATAATGCCCCGTTCGCCCTCCAGGCCGCAACAACTGCGCTAGCGGCGATGGCGGCGACTTTCCCGCGGGCCATGCAGGAGGAGGCTTTCATGAAGGCCGTGAGCCAAGAGCTCAGCAAGCTGGGCTTCAAAAGGTGAGCTCGAGCTTCGAGCGGTGCACTGCAACGTGGGGCACGTGGTAGACCGAGGGGTGATTGGAGGCCGGTGGGCTTAGTACTAAATCGGGTTTGCACAAACATCAGCATGGAATGGATCCAGGGGTGGGTAAAAGGGAGGAACGGCTCGGTGCTGAGGAGGGAGGGCAAATGAAAGCTTGAAAAGAAAGGAAATAACCGAACGGCAGTGGTTAAATTAGATTAGAGGGGAAATTGTTACCAGAAGAAAGGACTTCTACAAGCTGGACTGTGAAGAGCTCTATCATAGCCCAATACTATCAAAAAGGAGGGCGTCACTGACATGGCTTAGCTGCTGACCGACCGTACCAGTACAATAGTTTGTCTGACAGTGGATGTTGCAATTTGGGCCTACTTTCCAGAGCAAACGTCCTTCCTTCCCACCCCCTTTCCGCTCCCGCCCTTCCCCTCGAACCCCCAATCACGTCTCTTCCCTCGCCATTCTCTTCCACTCACTCCGCCAGAGACAACTGCATTGCGCTGGTGTCGACATGCCGGGACGAGGTGTGCCGGCCGGTGGTGAGCCTGGTGGACCAGGAATTTGGGCTGTCGTTCAATATCGCAGGGCTGGGCGGCGTGCTCAACTGCGGCTCCACAGGCTTTAAGGCTGCAATGTCGCACTCGCCAGAGTTTCGCTGCGAGACCGATGGGACTGTGAAGGAGCGATGTGAGCATGATGGGGCGTTTGTGATGGGTCCTTCATGCATAAAGGGGTCATTCATTGTGGGGCGTGCCGGCATGGCTGGGGGATTCATGCGTGAGTGCTGTCGTGGATGGTGAACGGCCATGCATGATGGTTGGTCGTGAGTAGTGAACAGCTGTGCATGATGGTTGGTGACGATGAGGGTCAGTCATAGGCGTTTGCACCATTGTCTGCTGCATATGCTTGTCCTTGCAAGCATCAGCAGTTCGTTTCCCTGTGCTTATCTGCCTCTCATTTCTCCCACCAATCACCTCCCTCTCCCTCAGACATCTTCTTTGCCTTCCCTCACGTGTCCATCGGAGAATCGGGAGAGGTGGGATCGCTGCTGCGGCGCGGCCGAGGCAAGCCCTCCAGTGCATGTGGAGCACTGATTGCCATTCAGAACGACATCAACGCGGGCAAGGCAACGGTGTCGGACCCTTATGACGAGGAGTACGTGCTTCTTAAGAAGAAAGTCAAGTCACTGGTAGGTAACAGAAGACAACCTGAGAACGCAAGGTTGCTTCATGTTTGCATTCCATGTCTATAGCCCTCACTCATGATTGTTCCACTTCCATTAAAATCTGCACAATGATCAGGATTTTTTTTTTTTGGGATGCCATTCTTCTCCCCAGATTCTACGGCGGGGAGGTTCGGAGTATTCATTGGTGGAGGTGACTCGTGCTGCACTGGCAGCCATCAATGATGACCTGGAAAAACTCATCTCCCTCACTGTCGACCCAGCCACTGCTGACTACGCTGTGATCACAGGCGTGCAGATTCACTCGGGCAACCAGGTGAGGCCGAAGTATTGTGGTCTTGACTCTTGAGTGAAGTGTATCGCTCTTGTTTCTGAACCCTTTTCTGGTTTGTTGCAGATTCCTGGAGAGCCATTCCGCATTGAGCGGACTTGTGATTATATTGCTCCTGACATGATGTACGCCGTTGTAAGAGGGCAACGGTATGACCTGCAGCTGGAAGCCAATAAGGAGGACTTGGCAGTCCACTCTAGTTAGAATTATAAGATTATACTACAGCTGAATACTAATATAGTTCATGTGGTGCGCGAGTAAACATCTTCACATCATGTTTGTGTTCATGGTTTGGTTTCTATGACGTATTGTCTCCCTTGTCTTGGAGAACATAGTATCGGTGACGTTAGGAGTGTGGTGGATGTTCTGTACGCGACCTCCGCACCTCACACTTTAAAAATTGCTGATTTACAACTTCCAATCTGCTAAATCTCCGCCCTCCGTAAGCGTGACTCACCGTCCACGTGGCGCCGATTTATACCTCAGGTTTTATCCCCCTCGGCTCCCACCCTCGATCGTCTCTCCACCAGTCACAAACTTTCCTGCCGTCAAGGCGAATCGGTCCACAAGATTCCTGGATCTACGGGCGCCAGCGGGAAGTTCCGCGCCATCGTCACTTTCCCCCTAAACTTCCGCGTCTGCTGACAGCCTTCCCCTTTTCTCCCCCATCTTTCCCCGTTTCCCCCACTCCATTCCACGGCCACATGCCTTGAGTCAAATATGCTCAGTGCTAACTCTTCTAAAGCCAGCATTTCTAAATAGCTTCTGGGCTGGCTGGTCCGCCATGATCCTAACGATCGAGGCAGTGTAACCTACATTATTCCGTCTTGTGATTTCGAAAACTAGTTAGGAGATCAGGACCGCAAGCCATCCCGCGATAGCGCTTTTTAACTCGAAAAGCCTGCAGAGGCTTTGGTTGAGCAGCTGAAGTACTGGCTGGGGTCAGGGTTTTTTCCTAGGGAGTTGATCAGTCGTGCATGGTTGACAATGCTAAGGACGGTAGCTCCACAATTTTCTGGCTCTGCAGTAAAAGCATCTGGAGCAGCTCTTCGTGAAAGAAATGAGTCATGTCAGCGAAATGCTCACAACCTCCCTCATTTGTCGAGATGTCAACATCCGGTTCAAATACCCCTAAGGACCGCTCTTAGACCTCAGATCCCCTCGTCATTGTCATCTCATCCGCATTTATTCCAACCTCTCCACAGATCAACCAGGCGCAGCTCTTTAAGGGCTCTCAGTTCGTTGTCTGGTGCTACTCCATTTGACGATGCTCTCGAATCAGAAGACGAGTCCATTGAGCAGTATGAAGCACGGCTGGAAGCTAGAAGACAGCAGCTGCAAGAAAGTGGAGCGGCCGTTACGAGCAATCCCGTTTCATCGACAGGTAGCATGGCGGAAGCGTTTGAAATAACGCCTCAGACGGCCATGGGGATCACGGGTATAATCAGCATTATCGCTGTAGTAGCTCCTTTCTTCATGAGCGCGTGGAATCCCGCAGCTTCGCCTCACATGAAAGGCCTCACCTACCTGACGCTGCTCCTGGGGTTCTACATGGCGTGGAACATTGGTGCGAATGACGTGGCAAACGCAATGGGGACGTCAGTGGGTTCGGGAGCGCTGACGCTACGCCAAGCGGTGCTAGCAGCGGCGATCTTGGAGTTCGGCGGGGCTTTCCTGGTTGGATCGCACGTGAGCCACACGATGCAGAACGGAATCATAAAGGCAAATGTGTTTGCCGGGAAAAACGCGATGCTGTTCACAGGGATGATCTCCTCTCTGGCAGCCGCAGGAACGTGGCTTCAGGTACGTGCAATACTAAGTGCCATTGACGCTGGGGTGTTAAGGAGACACTGATCATCTAGGAGCAGGTGATGGTTAGGGTGAACAATGCTGAGTCTATTTACCAGAGGAGGAAGAATGTGAAAGGAATGGTGCCGACGTCATGGATCCGAAGAAATCTAAGCTGACTGGCCCTTGTATTCCTCCACGATGCACAGGTTGCTTCGTACTTCGGCTGGCCGGTATCAACGACGCACTGCATCATCGGGGCAATGGTTGGGTTCGGCATCATCTTCGGCGGCTGGAATGCCGTCTACTGGTCGTCGCTGGCTCGCGTGGTGTCGTCGTGGGTCGTCTCGCCTGTTCTCGGTGCTAGCATCGCCTTCATCGTTTACAAGTGTATCCGAAAGGTATGCACGTCCTTAGGCAATCTGGTTAAAACGCTCTGATGCCTCAAACAATAGCATCGTCACGTTCATCGTCAACAAAGTATCAGGAAAGATCTGGCTGTTTAAGCGATGCCAACATCACCGTGCAACATTTAACAATGTAAGATGGTTGGAAGTTAACTGGAGGCTGGATGATTTCAATTTCCGATACACTGGGACGAGGGGCGGGAAAGAATAGCTGTGAACGTAGCAGTGGCCGGTGGTGCGAGTTATTGGCGCAAGGTGGAGAGTATGATGTCCACGGGGGAGCGGAGAGCAATGATTCAAGACGGCAGAGACGAGTGGGCGTTGGTGAAACCTTGTCTCGTGGCTGGACAGTAGCTCTAAATAATTGTAGCATGTTGTTACCGAACAGGTACCTCGTCCTCGTCCCCTTGACTTCTGACTTAGCCACTCCTTTTTTTTCCAAACTCTTCCACTCCCTTTCTCCTCTTCTCTTTCCCCCCCACGTTCCCACTCTGCCACCTCTCCCCTTCCGCTTCACCCCCACCGCGCCGGCACCACACTCAGTTCGTCTACAGCTCGTCCAATCCGGGGCAGGCAGCGTCGACAGCGGCGCCGATCCTCGTCTTCGCGGGTGTCTCCGCCTTCTCCTTCTTCTCGCTCTTCACCTCCCCGGGGGTCCTCCTCCGCGCCTGCGCGCTCTCCCTGGCCGCGGGCGCTGCTTCCGCGGTGGCCATGTCCGCCGTGGTGAAGCGGCAGATGGGCGAGCTGCTGGGGGAGTTCTGTGAGATCCCCAAGCAGTTGGAGGAGCCGAAGCCGGAGAAGGGCCGCGGACCCATGGGCACGCAGCTGCGCATTGTTTATGGCGTGTTTGGTTACCTGCAGGTGCGTGGGCGAGGCTGTAGTCAAGTGGGAGGGATACAAGGGTCAATGGTCGGCTCACATGAGAGGAGAGGAGAGTGTCTGGAGTTGAATAAAGGGTTGTGGGTCCATGGGCATGCAGCCGGACGTTGTGTATGGCGCCTTTGGATGCTAGCTGGGGGGAAGGATGGGCCATGGGAGGTGCATGGCTGTGTTGCAGGAGATTGATTACTGTCATGTGGCATGTGTGATTCTCGCACATTCAGTTGCCCAAACCTGGCACTTCATGCTACCCGTTGAAGCCCGGTTAGTTTTAAGCTGACCTGGCTCCTGCTCTGTGTTGTTCCATGCAGGTGCTCTCTGCATGCTTCATGTCATTTGCTCACGGTGCAAACGATGTGGCCAACGCCATTGGCCCCATCTCAGCTGCTCTAGCCATCCTCGCCTCCTCCTCCGCATCCATCCCCTCCTCATCCCTCGCTGCCGCTCCAGTGTCTGCCGGCGTTGCCACTCAGGTTCTTATTTGGGGCGGTTTTGGCATTGTGGCTGGTCTTATCATCTGGGGTTACCGTGTCATTGCAACAATTGGGAACAGGATCACAGAGCTCACTCCCACCAGAGGATTCGCAGCAGAGTTCTCAGCGGCTACAGTGGTGGTGGTTGCATCTAGACTGGGTCTCCCAATCTCTGCCACGCACACACTTGTTGGAGCAGTGATGGGAGTGGGCCTTGCCCGCGGTATTGGGAGTGTACGGGCCGATGTGGTGAAGGAGATTGTGGCATCGTGGCTTGTCACCATTCCTATCGGAGCAGCGCTGTCTGTGATGTACGCCTTCCTGTTCTTGAGAATTGTTCCTGGATTTATGTAGGCTTGCATGTGCTTCTTATGGACCCTTGTCTTTTCTTTGTTTTAGCAATAGTGCATGAAGCTGTTGCCTGTAACATTAGTTGGATTTTGAGTAATAGCAGTTCAAATTAGATGTTCCAATCAACTGGTAAGGCGTATTTATTATAAGGTGAGCTCCAATCGAAGCTCGTATCCAACTCTCTCCATGCCAACAAATACTCTATATTTGGGGAATCAAATGCTGCTGACCTGTAAATGTGAGCAGCATCGCTGTAAAGAGGTGTATCTGGGTGTCGAACGTTTTTCAGAGCTGGTAGGAACTGGTTGAGCTGACAGCCACGTGGAAAGAGTTGCCAGATTACGCTTTCCAGATTACGCTTGCGGAACTCATGGTGCTGTACTGGAACTTAGCTAAAACCCGGACTGTACACTGGAAACCAACTTTTTGAGAATCCCGCTGCCTACCAGCTTCACAGAAAATGGATTCTCCATGAGCCATGTCCAACCAACCACCCACACCAGCAACAACCCAGGAACGTACGACCTAGAGGACTCTCTTGTCAGCACCACTTACTCGCTAAAGCTGAGTACTTCTGCGAGTACTGACGTGGATCGAGCTTCAATGAGGCTTTAGTTTGACGTTTGGCGAAGCTGTCATAGTTGAATAGTCGGTCAGCGAGTAAGGTGTTGTCGATCGGTTTATCTAGGGAGCGATAGCGTACCAATGGATGCAGCAGCAGCGAGCCGAGGGAAGCCGGCGAAACCCTCAACGAGCAGCGCTGCGGAGAATGAGAAGAAGCAGAGACAGCGCGTGAAGAAGGAAGTGTGTCAGGAGGTGGTTCGGAAACTCCAGGAAGCCAATCATCCATGTATTCAACAGCCTAACTTCGAGGAAGCCCTTCAGGCCCACTTTCTCCGCTTGCCTACGAGGTAGGGTTTCATGTGTGTTTTTTTTTCTCTCACTCCCTCTTTTCTCTCGTTTCATAATCACTTTGTGCGACGGACGAGTCAGGCACCCGACATTCGCCAGTCAGATTTGTAGAATACCAGTTTCAAGCCACGACCTTTGTCGACGTCTTGGTACGCATTGTTACTCATCATTTTGATGGTTCTACACATTGGATGTTATCCGAATCATGAGCGACGATCTTCAACATATTGCGAAATACTTCTTCCTTGATCTCCGTCATGAGTGTTCTGTTGGTCTGTAACTAACGTCTTCTATGTCATGCCTGAAGGTCTACCCCGTTCGCGCATAAAACATGTCCATCATCCCGTCATTTTATTTATAAGGCCGGGAGTAATTTTTGGCTGGTTCCATCCGTACTCCTAATGCTTACCCCTTGGTGAACATGCTCTGGTGCTTGTCACCTCAGTGATTGTCATAAAACTCGAGTAAAACATGGAATGTGACAATCATTGTCATATTTCCAGCATGCATTTACATCATATTATTGAATGTGACTGATTGTAACTGTCAAAATTATTCAATAATGTGATTGTATCGTATCCGTCCGATTCAGATACGCCCTGGATGTGAACACGGAGCGCGCAGAGGATGTGCTCACCCACAAGCGGCTTCTCGAAGAAGCTGCGAAGATGCCTAGCCAGCCGGTGGTGCATGTCCGAGCCGTGCGGGTAGGTTCGGAATCGGGGTTGAGGCAGACTGTCTGTCTGGGATTAGTCAGGAATCGGGCGAGTTGTAATTGTTGAGCGGCAAGTGTACGTTTACGGCAGGTTAAGGAATTGTACTTTCATTTGCTTGTGTGACTGGCCTGTCGGTCAAATCCTCCCTCCCACCCTTTCCCATCATCCTACCTGTCGGCGCGCACGAATTTCATGTACCATGCCATGCATCATGTTTCTTGCACTATTCCACACCAATTCTCCTTTGCTGGAACCTGCTCCGTTTGAAACGTCCCTCTGATCCCCTCCGTTTTTGCCAAGGTCACTGGTTGGGCCAGACAAGGCACCTCAAAATCGGCTCGGCTAACTGCATTGCACCCCCCTCCCCCCGCTTCCCACTCCCCCCCCCCCTCCCCACACCCCCCTGCCCCCTCTCTCCCCTCCCCCTACCCAAAACCGCTCGTTTTATGCTCGGCTGAGCCCTCTTGCAGTGCTGTCTTGACCTCACCCAACCATTGGCCATCTCTCCCTCTTGTATCTCTCCATTTTTTAGATGCCTAGAGAATTACATGCTAGATGGTTGCCGCCGCAACCTCGTAGTGTCACTCATTTCTCTCCCTGTCTGTCTCTTCCACGCGCAGGTCACATCGGCCCTGCCAGGGGGAGCTGATGGCGCTGCGTGTTGTGAGTCGACTCAAAACATTTCTCCCCGTCTTTCTCTTCCACACGCAGGTCACGTCGGCCCTGCCAGGGGGAGGCGATGGCGCTGCATTTTTTGAGTCAATTCAAAACATTTCTCTCCCTGTCTGTCCCTTCCACGCGCAGGTCACATCCGCCCTGCCAGGGGGGGCTGATGGCGCTGCAGGGGGAGGCACGATGGAGACTGACGAGGCGGTAGCTGAATTCAAGCGCCAAGGGTAGGGATGTGAGGCTAGGGGCTGTGAGTGTAGAGGCTTTCAGGCTAGGGCTGTGAGGTTAGGGGCTGTGCGGGTAGGGTTTTGCCGGTGAGACTCTGAGATTATGGTTCTGAGGGGGCTGATGGCGCTGCAGGGGGGGGCAGGCCACCATGGAGACTGACGAGGCGGCAGCTGAATTCAAACGCCAGGGGTAAGGGCTGTGCGGGGAGGGTCTGTGTGGTGAGGGGCTGTGCGGGTAGGGGTTTTCCGGTGACGATAGGGTTCTGAGGAGGCGATGGCGCTGCAGGGGGAGGCACGATGGAGCCTGACGAGGCAGCAGCTGAATTCAAACGCCAGGGGTAAGGGCTGTGCGGGTAGGGGCTCTGAGGGTAAGGGCTGTGCGGGTAGGGGCTCTGAGGGTAAGGGCTGTGAGGGTAGGGGCTCTGAGGGTAAGGGCTGTGAGGGTAGGGGCTCTGAGGTTAAGGGCTGTGCGGGTAGGGGCTCTGAGGTTAAGGGCTGTGCGGGTAGGGGCTCTGAGGTGAAGGGCTGTAAGGTCAGGGTTTTGCCGGTGAGGCTCTTAGGTTAGGGTTCTGAGGTAGCCGATGGTGCTGCAGGGGGGGTAAGGGGGTAGGGATGTGAGGGGGTAGGGATGTGAGGGTCTCTTACGCATTGTCCTCCTCAACAGATTAAGCTTCCCGGACCTCCCCCACCGGTTCTTCCTGCTCCCTTCTTCCCCTTTCCCAACTCCTTCCCCGTTTGCTTCATTCAACCCACTTCCTTCTCAAGACTCCCTTGACCTCCCTCCGTCTTACCCCCCTCTTTGCTTCCCCCTCCCGCTCTCCCCCCCCCCCCCCTTTCGTCTCCCTCCCCCGTTCCTCCTCCCGTTTGTCCCCCAGCATGCTAGCTCCACCAGCGTTCGGGTCCTCCCCGAATCTGGACTCCCCAGTGCTGGCGGGAGGCGCCATGTGCGCGGGCGGGGCAGGGGGAGGGGGGATACCGGAGGGTGCAGCTGCGAACGCGGATGGACATTCAGACGGAAAGGGGTCCTTCAGGTGAGTGTGTGTGGGGGAAGGGATGGATGTATGTGAAGGGGTTTATTGAAATAGTGTGAAGGGAAGGGGGAATGTGTGAGCGTATACTCCATGCGTCCCTGCTTCTGCTCCCCTCCCATCTCCTCATTCCTGTCCTCAACCTGCAATGTCATTCCCTCATCGCCTTTTCTTCCTCTCATACCACCTCACCTCTGTCCCCCCCACTCCCCCTCTCTCCCACCCCCCACCTTTCCTCTCCTCCCCCCTGTTCCCTCTTTTGCGTTCCCCATCTTCATCACTTCTGATCCTCCTTCCCTTCTTGCTTTCCCCCCTGCCGCCAGTTCTCTCCTGCAGGTGCCCATGCACGAAGTCACCTTCTCCACTGTGGACCGCCCCAAGCTGCTCAGTCAAGTGAGTCAACCCCAGTCAAACGCGAGTCAGGTCAGCCGAACCAAGTCAAGCGTCAGTCAAACTGGTCAGGACAAACCCCGCGCAACCGAAGCCTTCCCGACTTTGAAACTGCCCCTGCTATGCTCTCTTCCCATCCACCTCTCTCTCCCACCTTAAACCCCCCCTTTCCCCCCTCCCCTCTCTCCCTTCCCCCCTCTTCCCCCCCTCCCCTCTCTCCCATCACCCCCCCCCTCTCCCCCTCCTCCCCCAAGCAACTGTCTGTCCGCAGTGCTGGCAGTCGTGGGGCTGAACGACCAGGTTTGAGGTGTCTCAAAACGCGCCCCTCTCCTCTCCAACCCTCCCTCCTTTCCCCCTTCTCCCCTCCCCCATTCTCCCCCCCTTCCCCCCACCTTCACCCCCCCTCCCCCCCTCCCTCACTCAATATAACAGCTCTCAGCAGTGCTGGCGGATGCGGGGTTGAACATTCGCGAGGAGCATGTCATCTCCACCTCCGATGGGAAATGAACGAAGATGCATTGGTACTCCACCCGCACCTCTCTCCTCCTCTTTCCCCTTCCCCTTCTCATCCGTCCCCCAACTACAGCTCTCAGCAGTGCTGGCAGACGTGGGGTTGAACATCCGTGAGGCGCATGTCTTCTCCACCTCTGATGGGCTCTCCCTCGACGTCTTTGTTGTTGACGGCTGGCCCTCTGAGGTGTGTACATGCGTGTGATGATGTGCGATGATGCGTGTGTGCTCGTGTGTGTGTCTTCTCGTTCGCCACCTCTGATGGGCTCTCCCTCGACGTCTTTGTTGTTGACGGCTGGCCTTCCGAGGTGCGAGTTTGATGTGTGTGCTCAGCTCATGCATGCGACTTCTCATTTGCCACCTCCTCCACATGCCACCTCTTCCACATGCCAAATCCTCCACTTGCTGCCTCCTCTCCACTCTTTCAGAACTATAGTCCACACCTTCTCCAACCCTTTCCTACCACTTGCTTCTTCTCGCTATCCCATCCAATCTTCTCCACGCTCTCTCCACCATCTCCATGCCCTCCGCCCCTTCCTCCCACCCACCTTCCTCTATGCCCAACCTCCGCGTTATCCCTCCCCTCCCTCCTCCCATGCGTGCTGGGTGCCAGGATGTGGTGGAGATGCGGGCGGCACTCATGCGAGCAGCACAGGTAAAAGTCTAGATCCTGTCCTGTGAGTCTCTGTAAAAGAAATACCTTGTAAAGGCGGCAGGAGCTGGTGGGGATGCGTGCGTGCGGGCAGGTAGCAGTACTCATGCGAGCAGCACAGGTAAAAGTCTAGATCCTGTCCTGTGAGTCTCTGTAAAAGAAATACCTTGTAAAGGCGGCAGGAGCTGGTGGGGATGCGTGCGTGCGGGCAGGTAGCAGTACTCATGCGAGCAGCACAGGTAAAAGTCTAGATCCTGTCCTGTGAGTCTCTGTAAAAGAAATACCTTGTAAAGGCGGCAGGAGCTGGTGGAGATGCGTGCAGGCAGCGAGCAGCACATGTGAGCAGCGCACCGCAGCACAGCACAGCACCGCTCTGCACCACATATGCACTCCAATGCACTGCACTTGCGGCCTGAGACGAGCGCGGTTTGTCACACCGCTCAGCAGCTGAGTTTTGAGATATCTCAAAATCCTGTCACACCGTGCAGCAAGCTGCTCGTCATTTGTGCAACAGCTCTCACTGTCACTATCACGTTTTAAACCCACCATTGCCGCGCCCTTCCTTCCCTTCCGTTCCATTTTTCTTTCCTGCCTTTCCTCCCCCTTCCGTCAGCAAGCGGGCGAAAATGGTTCGCAGTCAACCCTTCCAGAAGCATCCGGCCAATCAAATCCCGCCATGTCAGAATCCGCAGGCGTGCCCATGTCCACGTCAGCAGCCACAACAGCGGCAGCAGGACACGTGGCAGCCTCCAGTTTGTCTGGAGCGGATTCCCGCGTGCGCATCCCATCGGACGGGCGGGATGACTGGGAGATTGACAACGACCAGCTGAAGCTGCAGCATAAGATCGCCTCAGGGTCGTTTGGAGACCTGTGAGTGACTTCAATAGTGTGGCGATTTTTGTTCTCTTCAGATAGGGATGCGTACCTATGTTTGGGTCTCTTCACGTGTTTTTCTACCTTCGCCTGACTACTTCCCTTTCCCGCAGCTATTGAGGCACGTAGTGTGACCAGGACGTGGCGATCAAGACGAGAGTGTATGTGCACACACTACCAGTCCTTCAGTTTCCTTACGTGTCTGCCTTTCCGTGTCTTTCCTTCCCCACCCACAGCTACCGCGGCACGTACTGTGGGCAGGACGTGGCAATCAAGATTCTCAAGGCGGAGCGGCTGAACGACTCATTGCAGCAGGAGTTTGCTCAGGAGGTCTTCATCATGCGGTGCGTGGGGAGAGGGAGGGTGAGTGGGGTGGGGGAGGGTGAGTGAGGAGAAGCAGACATTGTCCACAGCAACTTCCTCAGGAGATGTGCATTGGGCTACCCTTATGCAAGCATCGTGGACGAGAGTTCGCTCTGTTCAGGAGGTTTGCATCAGGCGATGAGTGAGGAGAGGAGGTCTGTGTGCAAGCTATGTTTCGCCTCTGCTGTGCACATCACCAGTTTCGCAGGGTCACTTGCACACTTTCTTCTTGCTCTGTTGTTCAACCTTAACTCTTTTCCCCACTCCCCAATGCAGGAAGGTGCGGCATAAGAATGTCGTTCAATTTATTGGGGCGTGCACCAAGCCCCCGAATCTCTCCATTGTCACCGGTGAGCTATTTGATCACGTGCTAGAAGTAGTGTTCTATTTGATCACGTGCTAGAAGTAGTGTTCTACTTGATCACGTGATAAAAGTAGTGTTCTGAGACGTCTCAAAACGCTACTTTTATTTATCACGTAGCCCCCGAATCTCTCCATTGTCACAGGTGAGCTATTTGTTCCCCAAGCTATATGGTGTGTGTGTGTGGGTGGGGGGGGGGGGGGGGGGGAAGAATCCTGGGGTGGGTGTGGGCGTGTATGACGCTAGCTACCCATGTGAGATATCCAGTCCAGAAGCAAGATTTGCTCGCCCTCCTTCCTATCACATCCACACGGTTTGCATGGTGGGCGGGGGCATCGTATACAACAATCCGCTAAGCGTGTTTCTGTGTTTTCCCCGTTGCCCTCTTCTCCCTTGGTCCATTTTTTGCCCTTTCCCATGCCCCCCCTCCAGAGTTCATGGTGGGCGGCAGTGTGTACGACTATCTACACAAGCACCGCGGCGGCATGAAGCTACCCATGGTGCTGCGCGTGGGCATGGGAGACACTCACTCTCTGCTCATCTCTCCACCCCCTTGTTCCCTCGCCCCCTTGTTCCTTTCTTCCCTTGCACCCTTCCACCCTTCCACCCTGGCCTCCTGGCCTCCTGGCCGCCTCAACCCGCCTGCCCCCCATGCAGAGTTCATGGTGGGCGGCAGTGTGTACGACTATCTACACAAGCACCGCGGCAGCATGAAGCTGCCCATGGTGCTGCGTGTGGGCATGGACGTGGCCAAGGGAATGGACTTTCTGCACAAGAACAACATCATTCACCGCGACCTCAAGGCGGCAAACCTTCTCATGGATGAGAACGATGTGAGTGAAAGGTTGTGTTGGGTTGTGTCGGTGCGGTGCGGTGCGGTGCGGTGCTGTGCAGTGTTGTGTGTGCTTGTGTGGTAGTCGGTTGGGTGCGTGTGGGAATGGACTTCCTGCAAATCTGCTCATGCATGAGAATGATGAGAGCAACAGGGCTGAGGGCAGAGTGTGGTGTGTGCTTCTGCTTCCGTGCATGAGTTGGCGCTGCGCATGGGCTTGGACGTGGCACAAGGGATGCACCACACTGTGCAGTGGACGTGAAAGGAATCATGCACAAAATTCCAGTACCTCACGCATTCCTGTTCTTTCATGGCCCTGTGTCTGCCAGGTGGTGAAGGTGGCGGACTTTGGAGTGGCGCGAGTGAAGGCCAACAGTGGCGTCATGACAGCAGAGACTGGCACCTACCGCTGGATGGCACCTGAGGTAACACCTGGATGGCATCTGGTGTAAAACCCGAAACATCTCAGAATCTGAAATATCTGCACTGAAACACTATTGCATGGCACTGAACGTAAACACGAGCATCGGACATATGACCCCAAGGCAAACACATGCAAGTCTCTGCTCTCCTCCCCTTCTCCCTGGTTGCGCACCAGGTGATTGAGCATCGGGCATATGACCACAAGGCAGACATCTTCAGCTTCGGCATCACCATGTGGGAGATGCTGACGGGCAAGGTGAGATGCTGACGGGCAAGGTGAGATGCTGACGGGCAAGGGGAGAGTGAGGATGGGAATGTGAGCTGCTGACGGTGTATTTTGAGTCGACTTAAATACGTGTGTGGGTTTTGCGGTGCCTAAGAAAACTTACGCATCACCATGTGGGAGATGCTGACAGGCACGGTGAGAGTGAGACGAAGGGAAGGGCTTGGTGAGGTGGGATGTTGGTGTAAGGTTGGCTGTTATGGCTGCTATGGCTATTATGGCTGTTATGGCTGTTATGGCTGCTATGGCTGTTATGGCTGCTATGGCTGTTATGGCTGTTATGGCTGTTATGGCTGCTATGGCTGTTATGGCTGTTATGGCTGTTATGGCTGTTATGGCTGTTATGGCTGTTATGGCTGTTATGGCTGTTATGGCTGTTATGGCTGTTATTGCTGTTATGGCTGTTATGGCTGTTATTGCTGTTATGGCTGTTATGGCTGTTATGGCTGTTATGGCTGTTATGGCTGTTATCGGGCAACACGATGGTGGTGTGGGATGTTGGTGCAAGGATGGCTGTTATTGCTGTTATGGCTGTTATCGGGCAATACGATGGTGGTGTGGGATGCTGGTGTAAGGATGGCTGTTATTGCTGTTATGGCTGTTATCGGGCAACACGATGGTGGTGTGGGATGTTGGTGTAAGGATGGCTGTTATTGCTGTTATGGCTGTTATCGGGCAACACGATGGTGGTGTGGGATGTTGGTGTAAGGATGGCTGTTATTGCTGTTATGGATGTTATCGGGCAACACGATGGTGGTGTGGGATGTTGGTGTAAGGATGGCTGTTATTGCTGTTATGGCTGTTATCGGGCAACATGATGGTGGTGTGGAATGTGGGAAGGAGCAGGTATGGATAGCAATCGTCATGTGTTCATCGTATAACAGCCTAAAACTATCGTTTCACATCCCCTTGTTGCCATCGAAGCTTGTCCTCACACTTTTCGTTAACAAAGTAGTTTTCATCTGCTAGCCCTCCAAATTATTTAACCTCCCTTCTCCCGGGCCCCCTCCCCCCCGTTTTTCACCCTACCCCACCCCCATTCTTTCTTTCCTTACTCACGTGCACACACCCCCACCCCCCTCCATCCCCCTCCTCTCTCTCCCCCCCCCCCCCCCCCCCCCCCCCCCCCTCCTCCTCTCAGCTGCCCTATCCAGACCTCACACCCTTGCAGGCAGCAGTCAGCGTGGTTCAACGAGTAAGTCCCCGTCCTCCTCCATCATCCACTGTCATCACCATCCCTCCCTCCTGTCACTCTCACCTTTCTTTCCCCCTTGCTTCCCTAGTCCCACCATGGTTTCACACCTGTCTCAGGGCCTGTATGTACGTCCCCATTCCCTGTCTCTGTCTCAAAACCTGTCAGGCCTTGCTTCCGTGCCTCCCCGTTACCCCAAGACTCCCTGCCTCACCTCCCTTCCTCCCCTCTCTCTTTTTTGCTCACTTCACTCTCCCTTTCCCCCTCCCAGGGCCTGCGTCCGCCCATCCCCAAGGGCACGCACCCGCGGCGGGCGGATCTCTTTGAGCGCTGCTGGGCCACCAACCTTGCTTACCGCCCCGAGTTTCCTCTCCTCCCTGACTCACTCCCTCTCTGCCTCTGCCCTCCTCCCTCGTTCCCCATTCTCCCCTCCCAGGGCCTGCGTCCGCCCATCCCCAAGGGCACGCACCCGCGGCTGGCAGATCTCTTTGAGCGCTGCTGGGCCACCAACCCTGCCGACCGACCTGAATTCTCAGAGATAATCCGAGTCATTGCCGAAATTGCACAGGAGGTGAGATCTCGTTTGGGTTGGGTTGACTTGCCACCCCCACAAAGCAGCTGTTGATTCCCGCCTGCTGGACCTCCACCAACCATGCCGATTGCCTGATTTTTTTAGAGAACATCTGGGTCACTTCCCATGGTCGTCCTGTTTTGTTATCACTCATCTTCTACCCATGTTGCGTGACTGGGGGGAGTTTTTTTTCCCCCTTGTGGTGCACGTCAGCTCGAGGAGGATGGAGAGGCCGACCAACAGAGACGGGAGAAGCGCGGAGGGTTCTTTGCATCATTCAAGAGAGCAGGGTCAGGGCCTAGGTGATATTGCTCAATGGAAGATTGTGCGAAGCTGCTACCTATTGAACAACAAAGAAATAGCAGATTTTCAACGGAAGGAAAGGTTGCTGGAGGTTGAAATTCATGTTCCTGTACTGTTTGAGAGTTGGACTTTATATCCAATGTATGCACTTCAAGTTATATAGTCTTTGTTTATCCACCGAACCCAACCCTGCGTAATATTCATTGTTCTATGCAAGCGGCTTTGTTCACTGAATGAGCACAAATCGCTGAATGGTGACTGACTGCTAGGGGATCGAGGGAATGAATGCAGACACTCCACATCATGAATACATTGGTACCTTGACGTTTGCACAGCCCCATGCCAGCAGACACCCACGTCAGCAATGCTTACCATCCAATGCAACACAGCCTCTCAATTGTCAGCACGAGAAGTGGGTTTCCTGTCGCGGCTCGATCCCAATTTCGCGCTGACTGGCACATTCAAATCCAGCATAGCAGGCCCAGCAGCAAACTGAGCAGCGCGGCAATCTTGAGGCCTGGATGGCTCGAGGAAGTTTGGGACTCTGCTTCCTAGTTTACCTTGAGCTCTCCGCCGGCCGTTCAGGGAAAGATGGCGGTCCGAAACGCCAGGAAGTGTTCACGAGGCCTTGAAATTGGACCGTCTCTTCTTCACTTCGCCGTAGTTCCATTTTCCATCGACTTCGTAGCCCTTGAGTTTGTCCGCTTATCCCACAACCTGTCACTGACAGTTCAAACTGTACTTCGGATATCGCCGAAATTGTAATCACTTTTGCTGCACCTGCCATTTGTTCGGTCAAATAAGTTCACTGTATCGGTTCGCGTTATATCTCCTCAGTGCGTCACTGATTGCTTAAGTTATTATCGGCGGTCTGCCGAGTCATGGGTATGGCTGCGCAGTTAGTTCCGCCACGGCTTCTCTTCCGTCAGCTGTTTGAAAAGGAATCTAGCACCTACACCTTCCTGTTGGCTGACGAAACTGCACCGAAGCGACCCGGCGTGGTAAGCACGACCTTCATCTCAGAGTCATGCCTCTGGAAATCAACATATTCTTACACAGGCTAACGTAGTATTTTCAAATATCCTTACCCGCTACTCGCTCTGTTGCCAGCTGATCGACCCCGTTGACTTGACCGTTGACCGCGACGTGCGGCTAGCTGAGGAGCTCGGAGTGACTCTTCGTTTCGCCCTCAACACACACGCACACGCAGACCACGTCACTGGAACTGGTCTGCTGAAGGTATCCATTAGGTCAGCCGTTTTGTAAAAACCATATAAATTTGCAGAGAATTGAAGGGCGTGTCGATGTAGTATAGTGGTGAGTTCTCGCCTGTCACGCGAGAGACCCGGGTTCGATCCCCGGCATCGGCGCCAAGAAACTTTTGGGGCTTCTCACTGCACACCTCCCACACGACTGTCCATCAAAATAGCTCGCCATTCCATATTTTTGTCTTCCGGCTCTCTTTATCTTTGTCTTATCCCACTAACCTCCCTCCGTTTGTCCAACATCCACTCTCCCTCCCCATCCCGATCAAAGAAACGGGTACCTGGCATCAAGTCCGTCATTTCGTCTGCTAGTGGAGCTCGAGCTGACGTGTTGGTGGGCCACGGTGACGTCATAGCCTTTGGCAGATTTGGCCTCCAGGTGAATTAGTAGCAAACACTGTGTTTCTGTATGTACTCTTTTGCTGTATGCAATCACGAGTAGGATCAGATGGACAGAGTTTCCTTGGTTCGTGCTTAAAAAGATCCTCCCTGACACTAGACTTGAAAGTTCGCTTTTGCAGATGGTTTAAGTTTGGTATCTCCAAGGCATGACGATCTGATTCCCAAATCTGTCTTGCAGGTCCGGTCGACACCAGGCCACACGAATGGGTGTGTGACATATGTCCTGGTGGAGCGTACCAAGACAGCCGCGCCGTTTGCAGCAGCACTAGAGAACTCTCTTGAAGGGAACGTGTGGAGGGCAAGTGATGGAGGTTTGGAGCGCCTGGGAAGTGCTGGGTTCTCCTTTGACAAGCTCTTAACGAGGATGGCGTTCACCGGAGATGCGTTGCTTATAAGAGGATGTGGAAGGACAGACTTTCAGGTGTGTTTTGTTAAACTCCAGGGTCTAGTTTGCTCTTTCACTGTTACAACTGCATCCTTGCAGCAGGGGCATGCACATGCTGAAATCTATATTTTCTCATTTTCCACTTCATTACTTGCATCCTCCAATATCTAACATCCTCTGTACATTGTTCAGGAAGGAGATGCTGCTGAGCTGTACCGTTCAGTCCACTGTCAGGTGAGCTGATAACCAGATCAATGGAGCCATAATGTGGATTCAAATCATGGTTATATGAGCAGGATAAACAGGATTCGTCCCCCTTTTTTGTCCCTCCAGATATTGTCACTTCCACCAGACACGCTCCTGTACCCTGCACATGACTACCAAGGCCGAACTGTAAGAACCAAATTACTTTTTGCCTGCTATTTACGAATGCAACTGTGCATCAGCAAATGCCACCTTGGGTTTTTTTTGTGAATATATTGATATAGTGCTGACATGGATGAACCCCAATGGCAGGTAACATCAGTGGAAGAGGAGCGAAAGCACAACCCGAGGCTGACAAAGGGCGAGGTGAGAGAGCTAGGGGATTGGCTCGGGAGAGGCAGTCTGACAGATGTTCCCGTGAGGTTTGTCCCAGATAGCTGCTGCATTGCATTTCTCCTTGTGCATTCTCTCGCTGTAATGCCTGTAACCTGTGTTTCTGTGTTGCTACAATCTTAAACCGTACTCTTGATTGCTGTGAGCAGGAGGCGTTCAAGGCTATCATGGATGGTAAGCTCTAGTTTTGTAGGCTATGTTTTTTCCTTCCTGGTCATGTTTCTACACCAGATACTCTTCTCACGTTCTTCATCCGTATGCTTCTGTCCTCTGTTCTGAAGGTCACAGCTACCGTACATGGGTTTCTCCTTCATTTCCTCACCTGTATGCTTCTGTGCTTTCTTCTTGCCACATGTCTCTCGCTATTTTGTGTGCACGGCATGTCTCTCCAGGCCTAGGGCTGGCACCACCAAAGAAGCTCAAGGAGGCACTTCCAGCTAACATGGCTGATGGGGTTGTGGAAGAACAGAACACCACAATTCTGGCTGCTTAAATGCTGAAGTCAGCTGGATGGTTCTGGACAGGGGGTTTTACATCGTGTATATAGGTTCTAGTACATGCCTGGCTTTTTTTAGGGCACCGGTAGTACTTGTTTTTCAGCAGCGACCATGTCTAGTCCAGATAGACTTCGTGGTATGTAGCCCCTTCTTTGTGTGAATGTTGAAGCTCCTCTGCTTGCACTCCAGTAAAGACTTGTTCTTCATAACACTGGTACAGTCTTGCTGTACATTTTCTCATTACCAGCTAGATATTGTGCATCTCCCTTGTCTCTTCAAAATTCAAGCTGACCAGACCAGGTTTGAAGGGCCTTACCGTATTCCCACCTGCTTTGTTGAAATGTTTTTACACCCAGCACTACAGCACTAAATGGCACCCTATGTACCTTACAGGTGGGAGGCGCCTTGGCACAGGAGCAATGAAATGATTGGAGATAAAAAGATGGGCTGCTAAAAAAAAGAATAAGGAGCAGGGTTACTAGAATTAAAAAAAATAACTGGATTGATACACCCAGGGTGGAGGACGTCTGATTTGTAAGGTGGTAGAGTGGCTATTCATAATAGTGCACTGCCCACTCTACCAGTAAGTAAGAAGCAGCAGTAGAGAATTGACAGGGCAACTGCGTTGAGATTGGGCAGAGAGAGAAAAGCAGTGGCATCAGGGAGGTGGCGAGCTTCCTTGTGCGAGGCAATTTCTGAGCCGACTCATATGCCAGCACGGTCAGTGCAGCGACTAGAGAGGCGGGCCGACTCATATGCCAGCAAGACCAGCAACAGCACAGAGTTGCAGGCGGCATTTAACAACCCTCAGAAAGCACCATACGGGCCGAGGGCAGCCTGCAACTCTGCACGGCAATGCAGCGAGTGCGAAGCGACTTGTGTGCCGACCCAAAAGACAGCGGGGACAGCAGAGCAGAGAGTCACGGATGGGGGCGAGTCGTGCTGACACTCGTCATGGATGGAAGAGAGCCATGCCGTGCCTGCTGCGTTGAAACCATCAGGCGTCTGGAAGACTCGGTCGACTGGGAAGGCGCCTTCGGATTGGCCTGGCTTGACTGGGTTGACTTGCGGTTGACTTTGAGCTTGACTTGATGTTGACTTGACGTTGACTTTGAGGTTGACTTGAGACTGACTAGAGGGTGACATGAGCTTGAATGGAGGTTGAGTGAGCTTGAAATGAGATTGTCTTGAGGCAAACTTTGGCTTGACTTGAGGAGAGAGCATTCGGAGTTGACTTAACCGCCTTGACGGCTGTACTCGTTAGAAGCAGGTTCTCTAAGCGCGCACGACCTTGCGCTTGCGCACTTCTGTGGCCAGCGATTGAGCCACAAAGGACCTCGCCCACTGCTCCACCTCCTTGCCGCCCATCGCCACCAGCTCCTGGGAGGATAATCGACCAATGGGAGGGATGGACAGACGGATGGGATGCGGTGAATGAGATGGTGAGGGATGGTGCCTCATAAACCCTCGCCCACTGCTCCTCCTCCTTTGCCCCCATCACCACCAACTCCTGGGGGGAGGGCAGAGCGGGGGGAAAGGCCGGAAGATGGGGGTGGGTGGGCAGAGAAAACCCAGCTCTAAGGCTTTCGAGAGATCTCAAAAACAGAAAAGTCACTGATTCCTCGAGGCTGCTCAGCAAAACCAATGACTACCAATAGTGGTGATCAGAGAAAAACATCACCTCTCTCACAAACCGACTTACCAGCAGTGCCTATTGGACGCCTCAATGACTACCTCGACAAAGAGGCTGGTGCCGACCTCGCGCTCTGAGGCACTCATGGAGGCATCCACATAGGCACTGCGGATGGCGCGATGGATGGCTAACAGCTCGAGGCAACTCAGCCTATAACTACAACTCAGATGGGTGTCTAGGGAACTGCCTCACCTCGACAAAGAGGCTGGTGCCGACCTCGCGCTCAGAGGCACTCATGGATGCATCCACATAGGCACTGCGGATGGCCTGTGCGTACTGCTGCAGCTCGTGCTGTGAACACTCGTGCTGGGGGAGGGGAGGGGAGGGGGGGGGGGGGAGATAGAGAAGAAAGGAGTTTGGTTCAGTGAAGCAGACAACAGGGAATATGGTGGGTGGGTGGGTGTTAGTCGCCGATTCTGTGTTGCTCCCTGCTCAGTACACATAAATGTGAGGACATTCGATTTAAGGCAACTCAATACAAGTGTCAGCAGCACAAATATACATGAGAGGATATAAAAAAAGACAACTCACAATGCAGCAGCGGAAACATACGTGTGAAGCAGAAGCACGGGGAGAGGGAGGCCCGGATGCAATGGCAACAGCCAGAGGCTTGGGTGCAGCCACGTTCGGCCGGAGCAGAGCTTCGGCGATGTAGCCTCGGGCCCAGTCCTCACTGGCGCCATGTAGGACGAGCTCCCGGACCAATCCGTCCACTCCGTGCTGCTGCTGAGCTGGCGATGCTGACGTGTCAACGTACGACGGGAAGAGAGCCCGCGCGTACACCTTGAGGTAATTCTCCCGCTCCTCGGCCGAACGATGCCGCCCACCACCCGACGCCCTCCTGCCTACAAATTTCGTGCTATAAGCAGACGGCGCAGCTGCTGCTGCTGCTGCTGTTGCTGCCGTCCCCACCGCTGCTTCTGCTGTGACTGTTGCTGTGGAACGAACAGGTGCAGCTGCTACAGCAGTGCCGGTTGCAGTGGCGAGGGCAGGGGCAGAGGTGGCGGTGCGAGAGGAACGGGAGGAGCGAGGGGGCTTGAGGGAAGCAAGAAAGGCAGAGAGAGTGTGAGAGGAGGAGGAGAGGGAGGCAACGGCGGAGGAGGGGGAGGAGGAGGGGGAGAGGGAGGGGGAAGAGGAGGAGGAGGAGATGGGGGAGAGGGAGGGGGCTGAAGCGGAGGAGGGGGAGACGGGGGAGAGCGAGGGGAGAGCGGCCTTGAGTGCGAGGGAGGGTGGCGAGGCGGCCATTGACTCGAGCGTGTGCTGGATGTTGGCGAGCTGAGGGTGGGGGAGGGAGGAGGGCGTGGGGGAGTGGGTGGTGAAGACACGGTTTGAGAAATGGAGGGGCAATGGAAGGGGCAGATGGAAGGGGCACATGGAAGGGGCAGATGGAGAGGGGAAGCAGCCATTGACTCGAGCATCGGCTGGATGTTGGCGAGCTGAGGGTGGGGTAGGGAAGAGTGGGTGGAGGTAAGTAAGAGACAGGGCATTCGAAATAGAGAAGCTGTGGGAGGGGGATACGGGAAACATGGAGAGAAAAGCCTTTTAAAGCGGTGCTTAAAACAATGGGATACATGGGGAAAAAAGTCTCACCATCCCTTGTGCATCTTACCTTACTCATCATGTCGCCAATCCCTGCCAACGACCCCCCACTGCTGCCGCCACTCACCACCCTCTTCCCCTCATCTCCCTCCCGCTCCCCCCTCTCCCCGTTTCCCGGCCCCCCCCTCCGCGCCTTTCCCCATCGTCGCCCCAGCCTCCGCGGCCCTCCGCAGCCCCTCCTCCCTGCTGCGCCTCCTCTCCCCCGCGTCCGCGCCCACGCGCGCGCACAGCTGCGCCACGCGCGCAGCCTCCTCGTCCGCGCGCTGCTGCGCGAACGCGAGGGAAGACACGAGCTGCGCCTCCATGCTGAGCAGCGCCGCCGCGGAGGGGGAGGGCGCGGACGAGCGCAGCGAGTGCAGACGCGCCTTGGTCCACGCAACCGCCTCCAAATACTTGTCCCATGACTCCTCCGCCTTGACCTGGCGAAAGGAAGGGCGAGAGAAAGAGAGCAAGAGAGGGACGGAGAGAGGAAGGCAGTTGAGGGTGAGTGCAGACGCGCCTTGGTCCACGCGACTGCCTCCAAATACTTGTCCCATGACTCCTCCGCCTTGACCTGGCGAAAGGACGGGCGAGAGAAAGAGAGCAAGAGAGGGACGGAGAGAGGAAGGCAGTTGAGGGTGAGTGCAGACGCGCCTTGGTCCACGCGACTGCCTCCAAATACTTGTCCCATGACTCCTCCGCCTTGACCTGGCGAAAGGACGGGCGAGAGAAAGAGAGCAAGAGAGGGACGGAGAGAGGAAGGCAGTTGAGGGTGAGTGCAGACGCGCCTTGGTCCACGCGACTGCTTCCAAATACTTGTCCCATGACTCCTCCGCCTTGACCTGGTGGGAATGCAGGGAAAGAGAAGAGAGGCATGGGGATTGCAAGGGGAGGGCGCAGTGAGTGCATGGCCGGTGGGGGGTGCATGGCCGGTGGGGGGTGCATGGCCGGTGGGGGGTGCATGGCCGGTGGGGGGTGCATGGCCGGTGGGGGGTGCATGGCCGGTGGGGGGTGCATGGCCGGTGGGGGGTGCATGGCCGGTGGGGGGTGCATGGCCGGTGGGGGGTGCATGGCCGGTGGGGGGTGCATGGCCGGTGGGGGGTGCATGGCCGGTGGGGGGTGCATGGCCGGTGGGGGGTGCATGGCCGGTGGGGGGTGCATGGCCGGTGGGGGGTGCATGGCCGGTGGGGGGTGCATGGCAGGCAGCAGCAGGTGCATGTCAGGGGAGGGCGCACAGCAGGTGATCTTACCAGTTCCAGCAGGTGATCTCACCAGTTCCAGCTCTACAAGAGAGAGTGCTGCCGTGTCCACCACAGGCGGCAGGGGATGCACGGCAGGGCAGGGCAGGGCAGGGCAGGGCAGGGCAGGGCAGGGGAGGGGAGGGCACATGGGAGGGGAGGCAGCAGGGATCCCATGGCAGGTGCTCTCACCAGTTCCAGCTCCACAGGGGACAGTGCTGCCGTGACCACCACAGGCAGCAGCGGCAACGGCTGCTGCTGCTGCCACATGTCACTAGGAGATGCATGGCAGCAGGAGGTGCATGGCAGGGATACAACGTAAGGGGAGGGAGGGTGCTCTCACCAGTTCCAGCTCCACAGGCGACAGTGCTGCCGTGTCAACCACAGGCTGATGAGGCTGCTGCTGCTGCTGCGGCTCCTCCCTTGCGACCTGCACTGGCTCGCTCTCCTGTGCAGTTACTGCCTGTCCAGTTGTCGCCTGCGCGACTGTGCTCTGCGCCAGCACACCGTGTCGCTCTGCCAGCGAGCGCAGCACCGACAGACGCACCTGGCGGGGGCGAGCAGGGCACACGAAATGAATGGGAATCGGGAAATGAATAATGAGAGGGGAAATTGGAAAGAGCTGCCTGCGCGACTGTGCTCGCGAGTGTGCTCTGCGCCAGCACACCGTGACGCTCTGCCAGTGAGCGCAGCACAGACAGACGCACCTGGTGGGGTCAGTGACAGAGAAACGGGAGTGGGGAGTTGAGAGTGGGAGATGGGAGAAGAAGATACGAGAGGAAGTTGAACGAGAGATGAGAGAGGCGCACCATGTCATCATGTCATGAGAGAGGCGCACCATGTCATCATGTCATGAGAGAGGCGCACCATGTCATCATGTCATGAGAGAGGCGCACCATGTCATCATGTCATGAGGGAGGCGCACCATGTCAGTAGCCCTCCCCGCTTTCCCCCTTCCCCCGTTCACCATTCCTCTCGTCCATTCCCCACCTAAGCGGCGTGGTGTCACCGACTATCATCGTCTGCTTTTGAGGACGGGAGTAATGGCGCCTCAAAAGTAGACACCTGAGCAGCGTGCTGTCGCCTTCTCTGATGCTTTTCAGGCGCCTCAAAAGCACGCACGCACGGACGCTGCTCAGGCTTTCCCCACCTGAGAATCACTTTTGCGAATTCTTAAAAGTTGAGGCGCCTCAAAAGCACGCACGCACGCTCCTCAGGCTTTCCCCACCTGAGCAGCGTGCTGGCACTGCCTCTCTGATGCCTCTCAACGCCTGCCCACTGCAGCCGCTCTCTCTGCCTACAACCTTCCCCAAATCCTTCCCCACCAAATCCTTATCCCCAATCCGCACCTCCCATACCCCATTCCCTGCCCCCATCCTCTCCTCTCCACGCCCGGTCGCTGCAGCCGCTCTCTCTGCCTACAACCTACCACCGTCCCCTTTCCCGATTCCCCAGTCAGCCATCCTCACTGCCAACACCCACCTGAGCGGCGTGCTGTCGCCTCCTCTCAACGCCCGGTCGCTGCAGCCGCTCCCGCTGCCTATGCCGCCCCGCCCGCAGCGCCTGCACCGACCCCGCCACCATCCCCTGCTGCGCGGCCCCGTGCGCGCCCCCCTGCGCCTGCGCTTGCTCCTCCTCCGCCTCCTCCCACTCCTCCTGCGCCTCTCCCTCCGCGTCCGAGTTGCCCGGCGCATTAGACGGCGCGTAAGACGGAGAGGACGGCGCTACAGCCGTGGGGGTGACGGTGACGGCACGTGGAGTGACTTTCCCCTCAACCACGTCGGTCACACGTTGCCGCAGCTGGGGAGAACGGGGGGGAATGGGGGAGAACGGGGGAAAATGGGGGGAACGGGGGAAAGGTGGGGGAGGGGGGTGACTACAGGCGCGTGGAGTGACCTTCCCCTCAACCACGTCGGTCACACGTTGCCGCAGCTGGGGGGAACGGGGGGAACAGAAGGTGGTCGAGGGGAGGAGGCGGGTGAGAGGAGAGAGTTATGGGAGGGGGAATGAACAACAAGGTGACTGTTGAGAACGCGTCACCCCATCCCACACCCCACGCGTCACCAGTCCACACCCCACCTTTCCCCCGTCTTTCCCCGCCCCAGCGCTAAGACGCACCTCCGGGTGCGCCTGGAGCAGCTCCCCCCGGCGGCTCTTTGCCGCCTCCACCGCCGCGGAAGCCGCGTCCATGCGCGCCTCCAGCGCCTGCAGCTCCGCGCGCATTGCGCCGCGCTCCTCCCGCCCCTCCAGCACGTGCGCGCCCGCCTGCAAGGACCAATAATGATTAAAAAAAAAAAATGGTATCACGGACGGAATAACAGAGTAACATGAAGCCTGCATGCTCCATACGGCCCACAGCCATTGCACTACGTCCCAGCGTTAACCATTCATCACATGCGCACCTTGCGCATTTCCAGTGGGACCGAGGTAGGATCCGCGTTAGCCGCAGCAGCAGCAGCGGAATCATCGTCGCCCAATGACGGGGATGTGAACGATGACGTCATCGGCGCCACGTTGGCAGGCTTGATGCTGACGTGGGCTACCACGTCATCGGACACCTCGCGCAGGTGGTCTTCCGCCAACTGCTGCGGAGCTGCTGAGCGCGGGGAGGTGGCGGAAGATCCGCTGGCGGAGGCTCCAGGGGCTGGCGCACGGCGGAAGAGGAGAGGTGCGGAAAACGCGTAAGGTTAGGCTTGCAAAGAGAGAGTGGCGGAGAAAACAGAACGCGGTGCGGTTACAGTAAAACACGATAAGAGGATAACCTGTAATAGAGTCGTGCGAAGTTAACCGCCCAAAACCCGATGGATGAGTCAAATGCATACCGTGCGGAACGATGAGATTCGCGATGAAGTTGCTCGCCTTCTCGTTTCCCCCCACGATCTGCGACAGCAGCGGCGACGCCGCTTCGATGGCCTGGTGGAATCCACGCAAGAGAACGGGACAGGAAGACAAGCGGAGTGGATAAAAACGGGAGAGGATGAAACCAGGAGAGGGGGTGCAAGAAACCGAGTCCAAGAAAGGCAGGAACAGCACCACGACATTCGCACAGGTCCACCCGTCGCCTGTCCATCACACCTCGTCCCGCCTCACCTTCGCCACTCCACCTCGTTCCAACCACCCCCGCCTCCCTCGCTTACTCTTTCCCGCGTCCCGTCTCGCTAACTGCCGCACCCAGACTCGCTACTTAACTTCCCGAACCCCCTCCGAGCCGCCACCCACTCCACCCCCCTCCGCATTATTCCACGCAGCGGACCTTGCTGTGGTTCTCCAGCGTCGCCGCGGCCACCTTCGCCATTTCCTTCGACGCGCGCTCCGCGCCGCGCGCCATCTCCTCCGCCGCCTTCGCCATGCGCTCCATCCACGACCGCGCTCCCGGTCGCGTCTCGCCCGCTCTGCGCAACAGGGCAAAACGCAGAGAACAGCGGAGTTGCGCGAACGGGGCGGGTTAAGAGTGCCAGGGAAAAAGGGGAGTGGGAGAGAGAACGGGGAGAAGGGACAGCGGGAAAAAAAGTACAGTGAGTGGCCTGAAGGTGAGATGGGTGTCGGGTGGAGTAACGAAGGGGAGGGGTGGAAAAGGGGAGAGGGAAGGGGAAGAAGGGACAGCGGGATAAACAGTGCAGTGAGTGGCTTGACAGTGAGGAGGGTGTAGGGTGGAGTAATGCGCGGGGGAAGGGAGAGGGGGGGGTTGGGGAGTGGTGGGAAAGAAACGCGGAGGAGGTGGAAAGATGCGGAGGGGGAGGAACGCGGAAGCTGCCGGCGGAAGTAATGCGGAGAATGTAAGAAGGTAACCTATGAAGTATTAATGCGAGGGCAAAGAACGTACCGCTGAGCGCGGAAGATGGCGGAGATCGGGCGACGGCAGTTGCGCCTGAAGCTCACTGCAAGCACCAGCCAGTCCAGCAATGCCACGTGGGCGAGACGCGAACGGGAGAGGTCAGGCCAGTTCTACATCTTGCGACGTCTATAAAAAGGTTCGCTGCAGTGTAAGGGTGACGGATTAAGTTCTGACGCTGTGCACTAAAGTACGGCGGCTGCATCGCCAGACTCTTGGACGACGACAATGACAGATATCCCACAACGGTGACCAACCGCCGTACATAAGCTGCATTTTGACACGTATGGTATATAACTAGCACGATTAAACGACGCGAAAGCTGGTCGACACGAACCCTTTTCCCCCTTTCAGGCTCCTGTTCCAACGAGCCTGTTCCACGTCGCTGATAACGTTCTGGTGATAGGACGCGGTGGTAGATTAGCGGACTTACGCGTTACGCGTTTCGGCCGCATGGGAACGACGAAGGCGGTGCTGAACTGCGGGGTATTGGGAGCTTTCCGCCACCGCGCGCCCATGTAGGGCGCAAGGGCGGGAGGCGCGCATATGCGCATCGCGACGATGGCTTGACTCGCCATTGAGGGGCTATTAGCAGACTACACGGCAATCGGCGGATAAAGCGTTTAGACTTAGGTGCTTACATGAACTTCGTAAGGCAAAAAAAAAAACCACTAACTTAGCAAACGGATGTTAAGAATAATAACATCTATTGGATAGCAGAGACGGCGTGGATGCTCCCAATGTGCTACCCTGACAGAAGGCTGAGCGGGACTTTCGGTCAGCCTACCCTACAAACCAAGTCTGAGATCTGAAATGCTAACTAACTTGGGAGCACCCAGACCTGGTCGTTGTGGTATGGTCACTCGCTCACTAAATCGAAGCGGGGAAGGGGAAGGGGAAGGAGGGCAGAGGGATAAGGGGAAAGGGTAGGGGAAGGTACATGGGCGGACGATGAGGGGGGAGGCAGGGGGAAGGGTTGCGGAGAAGCGAAACGCGCGAAGTTGGGGCAGACGAAGCGGAAATCGGGGAAATGCAAGGGGGTGAGCGATATGACAGACTGGGAGGAGAGTGCGTAGAGGGCGGAAGCAAAAGTAGGGGGGAAGAGCTTATGTTTGAAGTTCAAAATAAGGCGGGCGGAAAAGGCCTCTGGCCCCTGCGTGCGCGTTCAGGTCGGTCAGATCGAGGATTCGAGGCCACCCTTGAGAGTTGCGCGATAAAGTTTGCGGGAGAAGGGCCAATCGTATCGGAGGATCTCTGAATACTATTGCTATCTGAAAATTGTTTTCTACCGTCAGATCTAACAGCAAGGCAGATATCGATGGGGCTGCTCGCACGGTCTCTGCATCCCACGTCGGGCCGCGTCAGCTTTTCCGTGACCCAAAGCGGCTCGCAAAGACGCCACTGTGGCAGTGCCGTGATTTTGAAAACCTTGGAGTTGCCAACATAAGATGGGAATAAGGGAGTGAAAGAACAGATTTTGATGTTTCAGAAGATAATTTTACAATGTAAAGTGATTTAACATTCTAACAAAAAGGCACAGACGATTATTTCTCCCACTATTTTTTCGATCGTGCCGAAAGCTCTGGTTAGCGTCTTCATTCATGGCGGCCTCCGAGGGTACACATCCTCGATATCAGCCGCTTCAGCACTGCGCTTTATGGCCACAAAACATACAAACGAAGTGAACCCACTTTTCAGCTCAACACAAATCGAGCCAGTTACTGCGACACACATTATTGCAAATTCCACCGCAATGTGCGGCATGCGTCGAAACACAGCACCACGCCTGTGTTTAGGTGGATGAGCCTTGCACAGCGTGGCGCCAGCCAGGCGCCGAGCGAACTATCGAGTGGGCGTGGGCATGGGGCCACGGCATGGCTCTACGCTCGTTCGTGGAAGCCTCTTTTCGTCGTGTGACGACAGGGAACGAGAGGCGACTGACCGACAGAGGATCGCCGCCGCTTGATCCGTTGTGGTGCGGATTTCCTGCATTCCTCATTTCCTGCGTTTGACATCGCGTACGGCACATACTCGTTTTGAGACGTCTCAAGACTAGATTTCCTGGGTTTGACATCACGTTACATCACATACTCTCCGGCTTCGGTATTTCGCGCCTGCTGCTTCACTGCGCCCCTGGCATCCCGCACTGACACAGCAATGGCGGAAAATTCCGCGCAAGCCACTCCTCCGGCGCTTGTGGCGGAAGCTACAGTGGTGAATTCTGTCTTCGCCGCGTGGGGGAGCGGGCCCGCGCCAGCTGCGGCAGCGGCTGTTGCGCCTGAAGCGCCTGTAGAGGCTGTAGCCCCTGTAGCCCCCGAAGAGCCTCCAGCCCCTGTAGCGCGGACGCCGCCACTGCGCACGCCGACGCCGGACGTCACCTACTCGCTGCCTCACGCCGTCGTGGCGACTCGTGCGCGCGCCGCAACGGTGCGCCTGCGATGCGGGCGGCGAATTGCGTATCTGGAGAAAGGGATGGGCGCAGCACAGGCGACGCGGACGCTGCTGGTGCTGCATGGCCTGGGATCGTCGCGACTCGCCAACATGCCAGGTGAGATAAAGTCTCAAAATTTCAGACACTTCGAATGACAACGTGCATTCAAATTCCCGGATGCTGCTTACCCTGACTTTTTTGTGGATTCTAAACCCTTAAACCCCCCCCTCCCCTCCCCCCCTCCCCCCCCTTCTCTCAGGAGTGACGGACGAGCTTCTGTGCTCTTTCGGTGTCCGGCTGGTGGCCATCGATCGCCCAGGGTACGGCCAGTCCGACCCTGCGCCAGCCCTCTCGCTGCACTCCTTCTGTGCGGACCTTGAGGAGCTGGCGGATCTGCTCTCGCTGGGGCACAAGTGAGTGGATAGATGCGGAGTGATCAAGCACGTGCAGGTGGTATGTGATAGCGGTTTCCACAGTCCCACCCCGCGCCAGCCCTCACACTGCACTCCTTCTGTGCGGACTTCGAGGAGCTGGCGGATCTTCTTGCCTTGGGATGCAAGTGAGTGGGTTCACCATTTAATCACCAATCACCTTGTGGGTGGTCAGTGTGGGTGGTCAGTGTGGGTGGTCAGTGTGGGTGGTCAGTGTGGGTGGTCAGTGTGGGTGGTCAGAAGACCACGTGCACTCCTGTGCGGACCTTGTTCTGGGGCACAAGAGAGAGGATCGATTCAGAGTGACCAATTAGTGAGTGTGGTCAGTGAGAGTGGTCAGTGAGAGTGGTCAGTGAGAGTGGTCAGTGAGAGTGGTCAGTGAGAGTGGTCAGTGTGTCAGTGAGAGTGGTCAGTGAGAGTGGTCAGTGAGAGTGGTCAGTGAGAGTGGTCAGTGAGAGTGGTCAGTGAGAGTGTCAGTGAGAGTGGTCAGTGGAGGTGGTCAGTGGAGAGTGGTCAGTGAGAGTGGTCAGTGAGAGTGGTCAGTGAGAGTGGTCAGGAGAGTGGCAGTGAGAGTGGTCAGTGAGTGTGGTCAGTGAGAGTGGTCAGTGAGAGTGGTCAGTGAGAATTGGTCAGTGAGAGTGGTCAGTGAGAGTGGTCAGTGAGAGTGGCAGTGAGAGTGTAGTGTCAGTGAAGTGGTCAGTGGAGGTGGTCAGTGAGAGTGGTCAGTGAGAGTGGTCAGTGAGAGTGGTCAGTGAGAGTGGTCAGTGAGAGTGGTCAGTGAGAGTGGTCAGTGAGAAGTGGTCAGTGAGAGTGGTCAGTGAGAGTGGTCAGTGAGAGTGGTCAGTGAGAGTGGTCAGTGAGAGTGGCATGAGTGTGGTCAGTGAGAGTGGTCAGTGAGAGTGGTCAGTGAGGTGGTCAGGTGAGGAGTGGTCAGTGAGAGTGGTCAGTGAGAGTGGTCAGTGAGAGTGGTCAGTGAGAGTGGTCAGAGGTGTCAGTGAGAGTGGTCAGTGAGAGTGGTCAGTGAGAGTGGTCAGTGGGAGTGGTCAGTGAGAGTGGTCAGTGAGAGTGGTCAGTGAGAGTGGTCAGTGAGGAGTGGTCAGTGAGAGTGGTCAGTGAGAGTGGTCAGTGACATTTCCTTTCCTCTTCTCCCCAATCAGGTTCTACCTGTTGGGGTACTCAGCAGGAGGAGCGTACTGCTGGGCGGCAGCGCACTACATTCCCCACCGCATCCTGGGAATCGCCATGTGGGGCGCCCCTTCAGCTCATTCTACTGGCAGGTGTGACTGTAGTGAATAATGGTGTGACTTTAGTGAATGGGTAGGTGTGACTTCGCTGAACGGTAGGTAGACCTGTGCTGAAAGGCATGATGCTTGCATGACCCTTGCCGTCCGGATGCTGTGATGGTGGGATATTTCCTGCTGGAACATGCCCTTTCCTCGCACTCCCCTCCCCCCTCACATCCCTCCATTCATTCCCCTCCCACAGGGAATATCAGAGCAGGATAGGGAGGCCATGTTCGCCGGCATGACGCCCCACTCCCGCCGCTCCCTCCGTCTCGGCCGCTACGCCCCTCTCTGGCTCATCCGCCTCTTCATTCGCAACTTCATCGTTCCCTTCTCTGGTGAGTGCCTTTCTATGAATTTCAGTACGTGCTGTGCCCCTTCGGCTGCTGTGCCCCTTCGGCCGCTACGCCCCTCTCTGGCTCATCCGCCTCTTCATCTGTAACTTCGTTGCCTTGGCTGGTGAGTGCAATTGTTTTCAGCGACTAGCATCAATTTTTGAGTCAGTTGTTTTCTCCCATGGGCTCATCCGCCTTTTAATCTGCAACATCGTTCTTCCCTTCTCCCCGCCCCTTTCCCAGGTCCCTTATGGGTTCAGCGCTGCAGCACAGCCTCTCACACGCCGACCGCCAGTACCTGCTGCGCGCGCAGGGCGCACAGGCGCTGCTGAACGACAATATCGAGTCGCTCCTTATGGGAGCGGCATGGCGAGGGCATGGCCAAGGACGTTGAACTCTTCAGGCCGCCCCTGGCCCTTCAATGTCCAAGACATCTGTGATATCGGATGCTTTGATAATACCCAAGACATCTGTGATACTGGGTGCTTTGATCATACCCAAGACATCGGCGATATCGCCAGTATCCGAGACTCCACATGTGAATCATCCAAGGCAACATCCCCTTCTGCCACCGCAAATCCACCCCCATCGACCGCATCCTCTCCCGTCCTCGCCGTCCCCCGCCCCTCCGTTCTTGGTGCACATATGGCATGGCACGAAGGACGTATTAGTGCCTCTCTCGCTGCAGCGTTGGCTGCAGCAGCAGCTTCCGCATGTGGTGAGGCTGTATGAGCTTCCTGGCGAGGGACATCTTTCCTGGTTCTGCCACCAGCCTCAGAACCACCACCAAGTGCTCTCCACTCTCTTCTCTTAGTGGCGTCTAGTGGCCTCAGTGCTGCTCTCTGCTCCACATGTTGCAGCAGCAGCTGTCACGTCTGGTGAGGCTGTATGAGCTGCCAGGGGAGGGACATCTTTCCTGGTTCTGCCACCAGCCTCGGAACCACCACCAAGTGCTTGCTACTCTCTTCTCCTAGTGGTTAAGTTGCTGGGAACTTCATACTCACGCCTTGCATCTCTGCCACCAGCCAAGCAGCCGCTATCAAGTGCTTCCTACTCTTCTCTGCATGCTGCAGCAACAGTACGGCTACTGTACTGTACTGATCATTCATTCATGGCTTTTTGTACTGTATTTTCCTTTCGCCTCACATGTTCTGATGTGTTGCTTGCGTCCATTCTGTAGTCTACTGTATATTTTGGTAACATGTCTCGTCCCCCCCGTTACAGCCAAGCACCAAAGCTGTAAACTTAATCAGTCAAGGGGCTACCACTGTAGTGCTGGTTTCTGCACTGCATGCACCACAAGCACTGGGAGGACAGACAGAACAGGGCAGCCAAGAACTTGGAATATATCAGGCAGTACCGTAATAACGGCTTCTCAATCATGGCTGCAGTGCAGTGCAGTGCTGGCAATGGTAGCAGACACGCACGTGACAATACAACTGACTGCCTCCCAGCCATCTAGAACGTCTCATGCAGGTCACAACAATCTCAAGCGGTTCGTCTGAATAATCAACCATATTGTAGGCAATCTTATGAAATCTCTTTATACGAAAAAAAAAAAAAACGAAAGAGTGTAAGTGCTGTCTTAGATTAGAACTGTCTTCTACACGTGACAGCCTTACACGCGTGATCAAAATCATCAATCACCCACAGCCGAGCCCCTCTCAGCGATGCAATTTTATCCTCCTTTTTACCCGCATAAGGAGGCACTATCACCGGCAACAGCCAACCTTTCGGAACCCTCACCCCCTCCTGCGGCCCAAAGGGTATCGTCCCTGCTTCTTTGAAACTAACAGTGTTACTTAGCACCTGTGCTGCTTGCTGCTGCTGCTGCCGGCTCCCCCCTCCCCCACATTCCACCTCCCCCACGTCGAAATTAACCACCATGCTGCCCGCAAGCACGTTGGTCAGCAGCGGGGCTCCGCGTGCAAAACTTTTCGAGCTGCCCCCACGCAGCTATGGTCGACGGTGAGGATCGCACGACGAGGAACGAGGAGCTGGAAATCACGGCGTCCAGACGACCCCACATCTGAAAGCTCGGATCAACACGCGTGACTGTATCCGCTGCCAAGGGATCACCCCTCCATATAGTATCCGCATTCCCTATAGCCACATTGAAGCCGAGAGAAAGAGCGGTTAGAACTAACTGAACGTGTCGGGCAGTCCAGTGGTTGCGCCCGCTCAATCTCCTCCTCCTGCTGACCTCAACAGGATCCTCCAACCCTCTCTTCCTCCTCACCTCATCCTCCTCCTCCTCTTCCGCCCCTCCATAGCCCGTAACACCCACAGGGTTACCTGAACCGTCACCATTACCATCCCACTGCTGTCGCTGCTGCTCGTGCGGCCAAAAAGACTGTCCCCATCCCCCTCCCCATCCTCCTCATCTTCTGCTGCACTGGTGGAGGTATAGCCATCTGAGGATGGATCATCCTTCCAGAACAGGCTGTCAATGCCAATGCTGGTGATGGTGCCTATACCCCCGAAACTAGTTCCACCTTCATCCGTACCCCCATTGCTGCTGCTACTGCTACTGCTACTGCTGTTGCCACTGCTACTGCTATCACCAGCGCCTGCAGCTGCTGGAGACAGCACCATTGCTCCGTTCCAGGTGTCGCAAGATCCTGCGACGGGTGACAGGTGGCAGGTAGAAGACAGCATAGCCACGTGCTGCCAGCTCAGCTGCCAGCCTGGCGCATGGAACGATGAGGATGATGTTGGAGACGCCGGAGCCGTCGATGTGGCAGAGCCAGTTGTTGATGAGATCTCGACCGTCAAAAAGGCACCACAATCAGAGACACATATTTCTCCTGAAGAGACAAGACAAGGGGAGAGAGCACAAGGGGAAAAAGGTGGTAAGGAGAGTGAATGAGTGTGCAAGGGAGGGAATGTTAACATGGGAAGAAGGTCGAAAAATATTATGAGAAAGGATAGTAACCACGGATCTTTTGTTTCATCTAAGACGCTGAGAGCCCATCCTGTGGCCCATCCTAAACAACTCCTTAATCTCCCCGCCCTCTTCACCCCTTGTTTCCTGCCACTCTCTCTCCCCTCACCCAGGCTCACCGGAGCGACAGCGTTCAGCAGGAATGAAACTCCTCCAGCGTTTTCGCAGGTGGTAACCAGCGTAACTGCCGGGAAACATAGATCATGCCGCTCCAACCTCCGGAGCACCGGCAAGAGGCCGAACCCACCACGCCCTGATCGACCGCGCCCATGCTACATCCGCCCCTCCTGCTACAACCCTCCTGCCGCCCCTCCGGCTGTAGCGCCAGCTGCACCCCTCCCTGCCGCCCCTCCTGCTGAGCCAGACGCAGCAGATGAAGACGCAGCAGCCAGGGCGGCAGCCAGCTTCCTGGGGGGTCAAAAGGGCGGCATCGGCCCCCCGGGTTCTTCGGCATATTCGACCCTTTCTCCCGGTGCGAGATCGAGAGCGAAAGATTCCCGGGCGGCGAGGGGTAAAGATTGAACATACCCTTGGCATACGCCCACTTGATAATCCAGGGGGTCCAGAGGCGATTCCCCTTATTTTTAAACCAGACTGTGGTTTTTAGCCCGTCGAGTGAGGGTTCTCGGGTGGAGTTGTAGCGGCGCATGTCGTACCAGAGGCGAAACTGCTTCCAGGGGGCTGGGAGGAGGAACTGGCCCCATGTGCCGACTAGCTGGTAGAGAAAGGGGTCCGGATGGTCGTACACGTTCAGCCCGCTGTTGAAGCCTGGGGAAGAGGGGAGGCAGGGGAGGGGGGGTTGGGGAGGGAACAAACAGGGAAGGAACACTGATGCAGAGAGGAGAGGAGAGGGATGGGTTACACGTGCTGGTAGAGGAAGGGGTCCGGCTGGTCGTACACACTCAGACCACTGTTGAAGCCTGGGGAAGGGGGGGTGTGAAGGGGGGTGTGAATGGGAGAGGGATGGGCTACACGTGCTGGTACAGGAAAGGGTCGGAGGGGTCATACACGTTAAGACCACTACTGAAGCCTGAGGAAGGGGTTTGTGAAGGGGGGTGTGAAGGGGGAGTGCGATGGGGGGGTGTTGAAAGGGAGGTGTGAAGGGGGGGTTTGATGCGGTCGAAGGAGGAAAAGGTGTCTTTGAGGCGGCTTATAAGCGTGCACTGTGGCCATTGTTGAAGCCTGGTAAGGAGGGCTGTGATGTGGTAATCAGGAAAGTGTTTGCAGGGAAGGGACAATGACACGGACAAGAAGAAAGGGGGGAATCTCAATGCTCTGCTGATGGATTTCCCACCATTTCCCATCTCTCATCCCCCACCACCCCCCACTCCCCCTTTTCATATACCCACATCCCCTTATCCCCCACACTCCGCATCCCCCATCCCCCATCCTCCATACCCACCATACCCACCATACCCACCATCCCTCCATCATGCCTATCATCCCACCATTCCCACATGGCATACCCGCAATGAAGAACTGCCGTTGAAAGGGAGACCCCATACACGCTCGGGTTGAAATTGGACGCGTTGAAGTAGTACACTCCAAGAAGCCTTTTCAAATATCGATAAAACAGCGGCGAAACCTCCATGTCATCCTCCACCACAAATGCCACGTCATTCACGCTCTCAGGCCACCACGATTCCCAACCACTGCGGCTGAAATCCCCATATTCTGGGATCGGTACAGTACACTCCTCGGTCCGTGCGGCCATGTGAATTTATCCAACAGTGACAATAACGAGTGAGCCACCGCAACCCGATCAGCAGCTCGTCTCGTCCAGGCGGACTTTCCCGAACGGTTACCAAACGTGTGGTCGACGAAAATATCTAGGGTTTACCACATCCCCGTCATACTCAGCACTCGCTAACGCCTTTAAGCATCGAGCTGCCACGTCAGGACGATCGTACACCAGCACTTTAATATGCAGCCGGAATTGCGAAGGGTCCACCCTCCCGCCGTTCGGACCTGGGAATAATCTCGCGAGGTTTCGCGGAAGCTGCCACGAAGGTCCTCTAAGAGGCGGCTCAGGTGCAAGAAGACCCCGCGACCGTACTGAGGAGGAGGAGGAGGAAGAGGAGGAAGAAGTTGATGAATCCAAAGAAGAGGTTGTCTGCAAGTTGATCGGTTCGTTTCTAGGGTTAACGCATGCCAATTGTCGAGTCTGCTCTTGACGGGTATGCTGGCGTCCCGGTTGCCGTTGCAGCTCGAGCCAGATTCGCAGCGCGGCCGACGCGACGAGGGCGATCAGGAAGACGAAGAGGAAGCGACCTCGACCAGCGCTTCCCGCCATGACTCCTGACGAGTTCTGACGATTCCTGACGATTCCTGACTATTCTCGACAATTTCTGACAATTCCTGATGGTTCGTACCCGCAACTACAATGCAATCGATCCTATAGGTCGAGTCATAGAGTAATTAGGACGACGAGCGAGCCGCCTGGACCTGTTATTCCCGCCATGCGCCCAGGTCTCTACACTCGACCTGGAAAACCATCACACGGGATGGGTAATGTTGAGCTGCGAAGCCCCGAATTTAACTGAAATCCAGTATCAGTGCGAACGGCTCGACCTATCTTCGCCCCTATCCTCGCCTACCCTCCAGTATGCGTTCGACTCGACTAAAAAAAAAACTAATACTGACAAGCCAGGCGGTGACTGATCCGATCCGATCTGATCTCGATAATCAAGCGCCATTCTAGACTAATTTCCTTGACATGAGTGGAAGGACTAATTTCCTTTATTGGTAATGTCACCGGAAGGCAGTTGTGCAATTGCCTGAGACGCTAAAATGGCGGTTACAATGATACAAGCACCAGAATGAGTTACATAATTGGCGAATGACGGCCCAAAGCCTGTCCAGTGAAAATGGAATCAGACCTAGAGTGCAGTCGACTAAGCGATCAAGTCAATCAACGGCTAATTAGGGCGAATCTGTCTAAACTCCTACCGACAAGCTCTCTTCCACGACGAGATGTTAGAAACTGGTTACTAAAAACTCCAGCGATCATCAGCAGGACAGGTAGTTATTTCTTCCTACCGGCCTGCCTGTCATTTGTCAGGGATCTTCAGCAGGTGAGTAGCGGTTCAAACAGGTGAAAAGGACGAACAGCTCCAACATGCACGTCATCGTATTCCACCGTTTCACAGTAAGCTCCGTCTCGCACGAACAAAATACTAGCGGTCCAGCCAGCCCGCCGTCAATTTCTATGGCCGCAACCATGAAGGATTTGGGGTTTGGTTCGCTTGCTTGATGAAAACCAAGGTTGTGGTCGTCAGTGAAGTGGTTGGTGGAATAGTCGCTGTAGATCTCAATTAACACTTTCAGGTAACATGACTGGCTGTTGCTGTCACATAAGGGCGTACTCCTATCCTCCTATCAAGGAAAACCTCCTATCAAGCTCTCACTGGAAAATTCCCTAAACCCAAAATCTCTCGCTACTCTTACCAGGAAAAAAGGTACAATCTTGACAGGAGGTTTCTTGATAGGAGGCCGTAGGAATACGCCCTAAGATGAAAGTGAGAGTCTCTAACGTGGAGATGCATTGCTATCATTAGCCTGATACAATACAGGTGGAAACATTCATAAAACCATACGCTTTTTGGAGTCAGCTGCGAAAGGAGATGGGTGGAAGTGAAGTGGGTATACAACGGAAGATGATGGGATGGCATGGCATGGAGTGGCAGATAATGGAGGGGTGAAAGGGATGTATTTATGGCTGCGCTGCTCACTTCCTACCTCGATACAAGCATGCATTCCTCCCAGATGACAATCATTTAACCCTGAATTGGCATCTCCAATCTGCATGTATTTGACGATGACTCGCCGTTGACAGCTTGCAGCACATGGACTCCTCGCTAACAGAGTGAATCGATCAGTTAACAACGTCGACGATAACCCGGCGGGACTTGATGGTGTGCCCAGCGCCACCGCTTGTAGTAGATGGCCTGCAGCCACACGAGTGAGAGGATGAAGATCCACTTCACGCCCATCTGTCATGGAAAGAGCACACGAGGGGGAAGAGGGTACAGATGGGCAGAAAGGTGTGGTGAGAGGGCGCAGATGGACGTTGAAACGCTTAGTAAAACAGCATCCAGAACGGCCCTGCATAGTATAGGGCCTGCAGCCACACGAGTGAAAGGACGAAGATCCACTTCACCCCCATCTGCCAGGGAAACACGCGGGGGAGAGGGCACAGATGGATGGTTGGTTGGGTGGAAACAGTTATTGTGTGAGTGCGGCTCATGCAGGAAAGTAACAACATCCTTGACCTGCTGGGACTACGTGGCCGGTGTGCCGTCTTCGTACTTCCGCATCACCTCTTGAAATGCACGCACAGTGCAAGCCACCCACTCAGCCACTCACCAGCTTGCGTTCGTCCATCTCAGGCTCGCGGCACAGGCAAGTGACAACGTCCTTAGCCTGCTGGGCGGGGACTCAGTGGCGGGTGTACCATCCTCGTACTCCACACTGCTCCTTGCACCATGCATACACAGAGTGCAGTTTCCACACACCACACATCTCACATCTCACGATTTACCCCCTTTGAAGCCACTCACCAGCTTGCGTTCGTCCATCTCAGGCTCAGCAGCCCACGCAAGGAAGGTGACAACGTCCTTGGCCTGCTGGGACTCCGTAGCGGGCGTGCCATCCTCGTACTCCACACCGCCATCGTTGAGCATCTTGGGCATGGCAATGGCGCCGCCCGGGAAGTACGGATTGTAGTGCAGGCCTTCTCGCACCTGCGCACCCAAAGGAGGGGAGGTGATAGGGTGGACGACAGCGGGAGTAGGGATGAGGGTGGTGAGAGGGGAAGATGAGGATGCTTTTTTAGTCAACTCAAAGTTGCCAATAAGGGGAGGAAGTGGGGTGGGTAGTGGGGTGGTGAATTCAATGAAAAGCGCTGAAGTCATGACAGAATGAGTGCTGTGGTAAGAATGATCGTACATGAAAACATTATGTTATCAAATGTTAGACGACTGCACTGATGTAAGTACTTCGAAAATTTCACGCTTGCATGCTCCACATCACTCCATTAGAGAATGTGCATGGATGGAGACAACACACACGAGGCACTACGCAACCCACTCACCGAGATACCAGCAGGGGGTTCGCGGTAGCCTGTGAGAAAACTTTTTTTTTTCACGCCTTCAACAAATAAGTGTGTGGTGGGTGGAGACACACATGAGGCATCGCGCAACCCACTCACCGAGATACCAGCAGGGGGTTCGCGGTAGCCTGTGAGGAGCGCATAAATGTAGTTCTGCCCGTCATGGCGGGCCTGGTGGGGGGGCGAGGAGGGGGTGGGAGAGCATATCGTATCACTGAGCACGACTCAGTCACGGCGGCACGTGGGGTTCGCGGGTAGCCTGTGAGGAGCGCATAGATGTAGTTCTGCCTGTCGTGGCGCGCCTGGAGTCAAGGGTGACACGGTGTGGCAGAGAGGGGAGAGGAGGGGAGATACGGTGTTCGGTTTAGAGGCAACTCAAAGCTCTTCAGCTAAGGCAGGGCGTAGATGTATTCCTGCCCGTCATGGCGCGCTTGGGAATGGAAAGGGTGGGTGGGAGACCATATGGTATTACTGAGCTGAGCACGAGTCGACATGGTAGCACACATGGGGACGTGGGCATGTCAGGAGAACATGGACGCAGTTCTGCCTGTCGTGGTGCGTCTCAGTGAGGTTGACGAGAACGAGAGAGCACGAAAAGGGGGAGGGGTGTGGGGGGGGGGGGGGGGGGGGAAGGGCAAGACATACCTTGCTGATCAGGCTGAGATCCGGAGGGTAGGCTCCGCCATTCGCAAACCGCGCGGACGAGAAGGGGGAAGAAGAGGAGGAGGGGCAGTACCGTACCTTGCTGATCAGGCTGAGATCCGGAGGGTAGGCTCCGCCATTCGCAAACCGCGCAGCCTGCTCATTCGCGTACGGATTGGGGAGCTTATCCGAGGGCTTCCCTGGGCGCAGGAACATCTCGCCCTCGTCGTTAGGCCCGTCCTCCACCTCCACCTCGGCGGCGAGCGCCTTGACCTCGCCGTTGGGTTGGGCCTGTCTTCCATCTCTACTGGGGGCTATTGAGTCGACTCATATCGTCTCGAACACGGAGTTGAGAGCACCGTACCTTGCTGATCAGGCTGAGGTCCGGAGGGTAAGCTCCACCATTGGCGAACCGCGCAGACTGCTCATTCGCGTACGGATTCGGAAGCTTATCCGAGGGCTTCCCTGGGCGGAGGAACATCTCGCCCTCGTCGTTGGGCCCGTCCTCCACCTCGACCTCAGCGGCGAGCGCCTTGACCTCGTCCTCCGTGTACGCCACTCCGATGAGATCGCGGTACGACACCAGCGACATGCTGTGGCACGTCGCGCACACCTGCTGGTACACCTGGTGCCCGCGCCGAATGCTGTAAAGGTGTGGGAGGAGGGGCGGGAGGGGGAAGGGGGGGAGGGGGAGGGTGAGGGGGAAGGGGAGAGGGGGAAGGGGAGAGGAGGAAGGGGAGAGGGGGAAGGGGAGAGGGGGAGCTTATAGATGGTATGCCGGTATTAGTATAAGGCGGGCTCAAAAGTCGTGGTTAAGAACGAGACTCCTTACGAGGCATGGTCGTAGGAGCTGAAGATGCCGTCATGGGGCCACGGGTAAGCAGGAGCGTGAAGCCCGTGCTCCGCCTCGTCAGCGCGTGCCACGTCAGCGAGAGCCGCCACGCCTAGCACCGCGCCGCCCACTGCACCCGTGGCGCGCAGCAGCTTCCACGTCAGCGAGTCGTTGGTGGTGTTCTCATTGCCGGCTGCTGACGCGGCGGCCACAGCCGGTGCGCTGGTGCTGAATGGCTGAAAGAACGGCGGGAGATATCAGGAGGACAGAACAGACTTAGGCAGAGAACGATAGGGAGTTATGGACGGAAGGGTAAACGGATCATCAGGAGAGACAGACAGCTTTTGAGTCGACTCAAAAGAAGAGGCAGAGAGCTTTGGAAGAAAACCAGAAAGTAGTTCTGGGAGGTTCGGAAGGACGTGGACGGATCTCCTCCATAGGAAGTTATGCAAGTAGCTTCCAAACAGGGTTCGCAATGCCGTTTGACGGTAACGTGCCAGCAAGATAACGCGCTGAGCCAGATAGTGGAGTCAGCGAGATATGAGCAAGGTCGACGGCTAAGAACAATCGAGCGATCGAAAGCGGATCTGGAGCTCAGCGAGATCAGCAGGGATGCGTAGATCCCAGGAAACAACGAAATGCACGTTTGTTTAATGGACTCTTTAACTGCTTGAATGCTAGAAACACGAGCTGCTTGGTACGAGAGTCTAGACGACCGAGACACACGGATCCAGGATGACTGGTAAGCTAAATCAGACGGCATGCGGCCAGTCGGCTTGTGGGAGGATCTGGATGACCGACAGATCAGGAGGCACGCGGATCCGAGCTGCAGATCCGAAACCGTGACGATCCCAATGCTGCATTTCGCAAGCTATGGAGTATAGTTGACACCGAGTGCTAATGAGTATTAGACGCGTTTTTTTTTTTTGCAGCAACGAGACAGAAAATACTATCGTCTCTGTAACGATCGTTCGTAACATAGGAAGAGTAGTCGCATGGCATCGAGTACGTGTCGGCGAGCGAAAGCTCCGCGTTGTTGCGATGTGGTTACCAAGTTACCTTGCACGCCTTCTCAGCGATCGATCCTCCCTGGCCGCGGGCCAAGGAGCGCGCGAAAACCGCTGCTCGACCCAACATACTGCGGTCCGAAAATAACTCGCACCGCGGTGACTTGGTCGACGGAGTCGCGAGAGAGATTAGGGACGGAGGAACCCCTAAAGGTGGAAAGTACGGTGTGACTATGTTAGGGCACAACACGCCTAGGGAATGGGGTGAGGGAAAACAGGGAAGGATGATGGCGGAAGCGCAGGGGAATAGCGGGGAGCTAGTAATTGAAATGTATATCTCTCTAACACTGGAAGGAACGTGATGTTACTACGGATAGGAAATTGCTACGAGAGACTGTATATCGAGTATTTTGTGAACTGGCTCCCCCTTCGCATCCCACGCGCCACGTCTCCTCCCCCACCCTGCCAAACCTTGGGAACCACGCAGACAGGATTCGTGGAAAAGGCTGTACTTGGCTTGGGAGGTGTAATTTGTGGGTCGGCTCGGGACTGAACCACACTGAACCTCCTGTTATTGAGCGGCTACCGAACAGAGCCACGAACAGACATAGACGGTTTCAGTCAGCAAATTGGGGTGAAGCTGACGTTTCAGTTTTTGCTCGCCGAACCCACACCTGCTGGCCTTCCATGACCCATCCATCCATCACTTGCACCTCGGGCCTGGATTCGTTTGAAGGGAAGGAATTTCATTTGCATATCTTCTTTCCACACACGCATTTGCTCATCATTTTCGCTAGGTGCGTGAGCTTCTCGCACCTCACCTTTCCGCGTACCTCCTCGATCCTTTTTCATTGCCGGATCACGGTTCAGTTTTCCTCGACTTGACCTGCTCGTTGATCAAATTCCCGCTTTTCACGCACGTGATCGCGTTTATAGGTTGAGATTCCAGCTTGCAACGTAGAAGCCATAATGGCTCGGCAGGCGAAGCGAGCTAAAGTGGAGCCAAGCGCGTCGGCTGGCGAAAACGAAGACTGCGTTGAGGTGGTAACGGTCGAGACTAGCTCGGCTCGCAGGCAATCCGCAAGGCAGAGGAGACCTCCATTGAAGCTAGAATACGGATTCGCGGGTTTTAAATCATCAGGTGCAAAGCGAGAGACTTTAACAGCGAAGGACAGCAATGGAGCAGGAAATAAAGCAGTCCTAGCGACGGATCAAGAGGTAAAGCAGGAGTCTGGCGGGGGAAGAAGCAGGCGAATCCGGCGAAGATGAAAGGCCTTTCGGCAAAGTTGAAGGCGAAAGATACAGTTGTAACATCTTTGTCGTCTTTTCGCTGGGCGAGTGACATGGTGGACGCGGATTCGAAATCCGGCGAATCATTGTCTGAAGTCGAAGGAGTAGCATCTGACTCTGACGACAGTTGGGCTGCCACCGATCTGGAAGAGGATAACGGGGACGCTGTTAGCGAGGATGTGGAGGAGCAGGATCGCGAGTTTTCGAGAGTGAAGGAAGTTGTGCGTTGGATGTAAACGGCACGAGTGAAGACAATGAGAGGTCATTTTGGGAGGTGCAGTTTGAGAACGATGAGGAAAATGAGGATTGTGATGACGATCCAGATCGGATGAAGCGTTGGTCTAAGAATGCGACCACGCGAGCAGGGAAGAAGAAGAGAAGGAAGAGGAGGAAGAAGAGGAGCAAGAGCTTGCGAGCTTACCATCTGAAGAGGAGGAGGGAGGAAGAGGAGGAAGCTGATGAGGATGAGGCGCTGAGCGTTCGAGCAAAGCGGGCGTGGAGAAACATGAAGAGATGCAGCAACGGCGATGGGAAGAAATCTCAAAAGCAGCAGAAACAGCAAGATAAGAAGCGGAAACGGGCGGCAAAGGCAGCAGCGTGGGGCGGCCAGTGCATTTAGAGGGCGAGGAGGTGGAAGAAGAGCGGATGGCGGAGTGGGAGAGGGATCTAGCAGCGTGCAACAGAGGGGAGGTGACGCCTCAGCAGCTGGTGGAGAAGAGGGAGAGGCCGCGGGAGCAGGAGCCTGCTCCTGATATTCTTATGCCGCTGCTGCCGTTTCAGAAGGAATGGCTTGCGTGGAGCCTCAAGCAGGTATGGGTGTTACCGAGCCTCATTCCAAAGCTTCTGTCACATGTTACCTGTCTATTAATGAGTTTTTGCACTGTCTACTATGCCATTGTTGATGCAATTTGTCTTTCCCATTTTTTCCATTGTATTATGTGTCTCCTTTATGTCATTGTGATGTATTCATCATTCTTTGAACGTGTTTTGACCATGTTTTTAGCGTGTACTTTTCATGTATACATCTGTCTTGATCAGGAACAAGGACCCATTAAGGGCGGCATCTTAGCGGACGAGATGGGCATGGGGAAGACCATCCAAGCCATCTCCCTTATAGTCACCAGCCGTCACCTACAGTCACACGCCCCTGCTGTCACCCCAGTGCTGCCTCAGCCACTGCCACCATCAACAGCCGCTGCTCCTGCTGATGTCGCTGCACAAGCCACGGCTGGCGGTCCAGGTTCATCCGGGGGAGGTGCATCTGAGGCAGAGAGGCGAGCAGTGAAGGCAACGCTGGTGATCTGCCCGCTTATCGCAGTGCTGCAGTGGCGGCAGGAGATTGCTCGCTTCACGCGCCCAGACAGTGTCAAGGTGGGTGACTGGGGGTTGGTTGAACCCTGCACTCAGGAAAATTGAGGGACGCTACGCACTCCTGGCCCATAACCGAACTGACTCCTTGCTCGCCTCACCATGTTCTCCATTTCCGTCCGTGTAGAAAGTGAATTTGTGAGACGTCTCAAATATTCACCCTGCACTCAGGAAGGTTGAGGATCGCTACCCACTCCTGGCCAATAACCGAACTGACTCCTTGCTCACCTTACCATGTTCTCCATGCTGTCCCCCTCTCCCCATCTGTTTATTGTGTTGTGATGTGATGATCAAACCCTATTTCAGGTGCTGGTGTATCATGGGCCTAAGAGAGCCATTAGCGTGAAGGATTTAGAGGAGTATGACGTGGTTCTAACCACATTCTCCATTGTGGAGGCTGAAATGCGGGCAGCTGTGTTCCCCTCCAAGGTGCCCTGCCAGTGGTGCCAGAAAATGTTTTTTCCTGACCGGCTGGAGATCCACCAAAAGTATTTCTGCGGGCCAAATGCCAGCGGACGCCAAGCAGGCGAAGCAGCAAAAGTAGCTTCGTAGCGGGCCAATGACGCGAAGGCAGAGCCAAGCAGGCGAAGCAGCAGAAGAAGCTGCCGAGAAGCTTAAGGGGTGGTAGGACAAGGGGGGGAAGTGGGGACAGGCAGCGGGAAAAGGGGGAAAGGGTGGGAAAGTGGGGAAGGCGAGAGGAGGAGAGGGGGGGAGATGAAGTGACAGTGACTACGAGGAGGAGGAGGAGAGGAGGAGGAGGAGGACGAGGAGAGGGGCTGGAAGGGGAAAGGGAGAAAGTGGACCGAAACAAGGAAAAGCAAGGAAAAGCAAGGGCCTGGGCAAGGGAAAGGTAGTGGATGTGTCAGGCAAGGGCAAAGCGAAAGTGGTCGATGATGACGACGATGATGATGATGCCGACAACGATGACGCTGAAGGTGGTGGTGACGGTAATGGTGCCGGTGAGAGCAGTGGCGGTGCAACTACAGCTGGCCAGGTGGATGCATCGACTTCCAGAGGCAATCAGAAGAAGAAACCCCCAGGGAAGGCGACACCAGCGTCCGTACTGCACTTGGTGCGATGGAGGAGGATCATATTAGACGAGGCACACAGCATCAAGGACCGCCGCTGCAACACTGCCCGAGCTGTCTTTGGCCTGCGCTTCCGACTTCAAGTGGGCGCTCAGCGGCACGCCCTTGCAGAACCGCGTGGGGGAGCTCTACTCGCTCATCAGGTTTCTGCAGATTGATCCTTACTCGTACTACTTCTGTCGCCACTGTGACTGCCAGTCCCTGGACCACAAGTGAGTTGGCTTTTGATGCTTCTGTTAAATGACCACAGAACCAGGTGGGGGAGCTGTACTCGCTGATCCGGTTCCTGCAGACAGACCCTCACTCGTTCTACTTTTGCCGCCACTGTGGCTGCCACTCCTCGACCACAAGTGTGTCGTGGGCTTGTAAACGACTGTCTCTAAACCCTTTTTTCTATAGGTTCTCTGCGTACAATCGCAAGTGCGGTTAGGGTGTGGTGGTCTGCAAGCCATGATTGAGCTCAAAATCCTTTGGGCCTGTGTGCCTTCCCGACATTCCTTTCTGCAGGTTCTCTGCTCACAACCGCAAGTGCGACCAGTGCGGCCACTCACCCTTGGTCCATTTCTGCTGGTGGAACAAGGTGAGAGGATCCTGTTGGTTTCCTAACATGCAGGCACCGACCTTGAGTTGCCTCTGGAGTTGGAGTTTATTTCGCAGGAACCTGTTTGAGGTGTAATCAACGACTTTTTTGGAGTTTCTGAATGACATTTGAGTCTATTCATGCATGGACTCAATAATCAAAGCTCAAGTTCACAGTCACGAGATCAGAAGGCACGGCGGCGCGCGCACAGATGCCTGCCTGGGGTTTATTCCGCAGCCCCCTGTAGCACGATTCTTCCCCAACTACACCTGTTTGACGCCCCCAGTTCTTGGCAAACCCCACAATGATCCTGGATACGGTGGCATTGGCAGGAGGACCATACTGCTGCTGCTCAGGCACCTAGTTCTCGGCTTCATTGCCCGCAATCTTGTTTGTCTGCTCCTCGCTACCCCCTGCTCTCTCTGCCTATCCCCTGACGCCCCCAGTTTGTGGCGAACCCAATAATGAAGCATGGGTACAGGGGCGATGGCAGGAAACCGTGCTGCGGCTCAAGCACCGCGTGCAGCTTGGGGTATCTCATTGGCCTCCACTCTATCTCCTTCTGCTTCCCCCTCCCGCTTCCCCCCAGTTCGTGGCGAACCCAATAATGAAGCATGGGTACGGTGGGGATGGCAGGAGGGCAATGCTGCTGCTCAAGCACCGCGTGCTCGACCGCGTTCTGCTGCGCCGCACTAAGACTGAACGGGCGGCGGACCTCACTTTGCCACCCAGAACTGTGAGTGCTGATTGCGAGCTCCCTTCGGAGTGTTCTCAAAATTTGCACTGTGTGTCGCCTTCGAAAATTCTTACAGGCACATTTGTGTGTCCGACAGGTCTGCTGTTCCGTTCAACCCACTGCATCCCAAGTCTCTTTCTTCACTCCTCCCTCCATGCTTCCTTTCGCAGTCCACGCTGCGCAGAGAGACCGATTCGACGCGCGCGAGGAGGATTTCTATGAGGCGCTCTACACACAGAGCCAATCACAGTTCGCCACGTCAGTCCTCACTCAACCACAGCCCAGTCTGCATGATATGCTTGCAAGCTCCGTGCTGTGTGTTGCCCTGTCTGTGTCTCGACGTGTCTCACTTCCCTTCCATCCGTGATATCCATGACCCTGGTGTCTGTGCTCGTCACGAGTATCCTTCACATCCTGCTGTACGTTATCTTCTGGTTACCCGTCGCTACAGCGCTGTGTTGAAAGGATTGTATAGACGTCCGTCCTTTCAAGCACCTCCGCAAAAGTGTCTTTTCTTTTTCTTTTCTTCTTTGTTGCCTCCCCTCTTCCTCCTCTCCCTCCAGCTACTGCGTGCATGCACAGTGCACATTACTCTACAACTACCCGCATATATGGTCTGCGCATCTGCCTGCGCCACTTAATTTTCCCTCTTCTTCGACCCTTTCTCCCTCCCCGTCTCCACCCTCTTTCTCACACCCCCCCCCCCCCAGTTATGTCGACGCAGGCACATACTCAACACTTTTGCGCACATATTTGGGAATCACTTTTGAGAACTCTCAAAAGTGATACTCAACAATTTTGCGAACATATACGTCCTGCTCATCCGCCTTCTCTTCTCCCGTTTCCTCCTCCTCCCCCTCTGCCTCCCTCCCCCCAGCTACGTGGACACTACAAACCACTACTCAACAATTACGCGCTCACACATATATCCTCATCGCCTGCGCCAGGCGGTGGACCATCCCTACCTCGTCGTTCACTCCGCCTCACAAACACTGCTGCTGGCCGCCGCCGCCGCCACCGCTTCGACTGCTGCCGCCTCTGCTGGCGCCGCTGCTGCTTGCTGAGAGGGCAGGGGGAGGGGCAAACGATGGGCCAAGTGGTGGGGGAGTGGTTGGTGGGGGAGGAGAGGGGGAAAGGGAAGAGGAAAAGGAGGAGGAAACAAGAGTGTGTGGAATCTGCTGTGACTATGCAGAGGATCCCGTGGTACGTCGGTAGCTAGCGTTGAGTGGTTGCGGGTGCCTTGCTTGCCTTATCAGGTGTGTGTTAAGTTGACTCCTAGCACATCTGTTGTGACTATGCAGAGGACCCCGTGGTATGTCGGTCAGTTCAAGTCAATGTGCACGTTCTGTTCTGCCAAAGCTGCTGCTTCACCGTGCCGTGCCCGTTTGCAACCAATGTGATCTCCCCCAAATTACCCTCCTATCTCAAACAATGCGGCTTCCCCCCCTCCCCCCATCATCTACCTACAATGTTGCTTCCCCCTCCCCCCATCATCTACCTACAATGTTGCTTCCCCCTCCCCCCATCATCTACCTACAATGTGTGCTTCCCCCCTCCCCCATCATCTACCTACAATGTTGCTTCCCCCCCTCCCCCCATCATCTACCTACAATGTTGCTTCCCCCCTCCCCCCATCATCTACCTACAATGTTGCTTCCCCCCTCCCCCCATCATCTACTACAATGTTGCTTCCCCCCTTCCCCCATCATCCACCCACGCACTCTCGTCTTCCAGTCCTCACGCTGCAAGCACACCTTCTGCCGCGGCTGCATCACAGATCTCATAGCAGCTCACAGCAGCACCAGCAGCGGCAGTGGCGGGCAGCAATAACACCAGCACCAGCGCCGGGAATGGCATGAGCAGCAGCAGCAAGGGGGCGTTGAGTGCCCTGTGTGGTCTGCCCTCCTCACTGTCGACCTCAGCTCTCCCTCTCCCGTCTATATCCGTGTGACTTTTGAGAATGTCAAAAGTCACACGGATACTGTTGGAGTGCCCTGTGTGGTCTGCCCTCCTCACAGTCGATCTCAGCTCCCCCGCCCTATCTCTTCTTCTTAACCAACTTGCTCTCTTTACCCCTGTTCCCCCACCACCCACCCTCCCACGCATTCTCATGCCCGTTTCTTCTTAACTCACTGCTGCAGTTCTCGCGCTGCCTGCACACCTTCTGTCGCGGCTGCATCACAGATCTCATAGCAGCTCACAGCAGCAGCAGCA